CATATCATTACATTGTTCATCAAACGTGATGCCAAAAATGAAGAAAGAGATATAAGATTTAATGTATATAAATATAAACTTCCTATTTTCAAGGGTAAATGTGAGAAACCTCAATTAAAATCTTCCAATTTAATATTTAAAATATTTTCTAATATATTTCTAAAAAAAATCGTAAAAACGATTAAAGATTTCATCATTTTTTTATAAAAAGAGAATCTAAAAATATGTAATTTTTTTATAAAAATAAATATTTTAAAGATAAAATTTGGTGAGAGGATATTTATTTTAAAATATTTTCCAATTCCAATAACCCTTTAAAAAATATTCCCAGGAATACCTCACAGTTGAAAAAACTGCTTAAAGATTAACTTAGAAGAATAATTTCACTTTCTTAGATAATTTTAAACCCCAAAACTTCGAGGACATTTTAATTTAAAAAACATATTTCAGATTTAGCCTTATATAGAGTAAGACCTTTTTTAGAGAATTCAACTCTATACAATCTAACGCTACAAAAATATTTTTAGATCGACCTCAGATGGTGCTATCATAAAGATTCCATATATATGTCTAATATGAAAAAAGTTTTTAAAAAATGAATTAGATTATATATCCCCAAGCTAAAGATGAGAGGATCCAAAGGGTCTCCTTGTTGTATATTATATCCTCGTCAGAAGGAATTGAATAATCCCCAAATGTGTGAGAGGTTATACAGCCATATGACTGTTCAATAAATTTTTCATATATTAGAAAAATATATTTATAAAAAAATGTTTAAAATATTTTCTGGATAAAGAATTAAAAACATTTTTAAAATCCAGCTTACAAACTATGGTTTCTGGCGGAGGATCTTTGATATATTTATACGCAGAAGTGAGCGCCTATTTTGCACCCCCTCCCTTTAGTATTAAAGTTAATATGTTTAGAAAAATATGCTTAGCTTAGTGTTGTTAAACGATTCGATTTTTAAAAAGACCAACCCAATATTTTAGCAAAATATATTACACAAGTCTCGAGATTTCTTTAATAGATGTTCAAACATGCCATCTACGAGCAAAATCTCCAGACTTGCTTAATATTTTATATCTAAAATATTGGTTTAGGTGTTTTTAAAAATCGAGTAGTTTAACCACACTAAATGTGTTCAACGAAGATATTAGTTTCCTAAAATAGACCCTATTACAATTGGTCTAACCCCACCATCAGGCTTAGATACTGCAATTTATCTTGCACCAAAAATAAATTGATGAACTTGGATAGATAAATCTTTGTTTAATATATTTTTTCTTATTGATGAATTTATAAATGTATTATGAATAGGATTTTTATGGTTAACTAAAAATTGGAAATAAGAGGTTTGAGAGAACCGTTAATTTCCAGAGGCTGAGTTTTTATTAAAAGATAGAACTCTTTAATTTCCTTGCTTTTCAATTGATTAGGTTTTATAGGTGGGGAAATCCTTAGCAAAAACCTGAGGATTCTTTAAGGTGAAAGAAAATTTACATGAGGGGAAAAGAAAGTCTGGGTGTAGAGCTCGTATTTTGATAAGAAGTGTGAGCCCTGTTATACCATCTAAATTATTGATGTATAGAGGGGGACTTTTAATATTATATTGAGACTAAAAAGGTATTGGGAATTTATCAGAGATTATTCTTTGAATTCATAAACAAAATAATGTCGGGCCAAGGGGATTTCCTTGTTATATACCTTGTTGAGATTGAATAATGTGTTTAGGATTTCAGGGCTGTTGAAGTCGAATATCATAGGATGAATTGGGTATATTCTGAATAAATTTGTCTAAGAGCAGAAATGAAATAATTTTCCTGTGGATATTTTTAAAATCATTGTTGAAATCATATTTAAAATATGGATTGTCATGGCTACTTTCCAGAATTATGTAAGTAGTGTGAATTGCTACTTCACATCCATTTTTATCCCTAGAACTAGTGGTCTATGTTGCAAGCCTTGAGGCGTGATTTTATTCAATTTCTTATTATTTCCTTGTTATTGTGAGAAATATGGATCCTATCCTACGGCTATCGTACGAACCTTATCAACATTTTTATATAAAGTGGTGAGTCAAGCTCCGAATAAAACTAGTGTAGTGTGATGTCTGAGGGAGTCTCTCCTTTGAGTATTTTGTTTAAGAATGTTGTCAGGTTGGTTAATAATGATTTATTGAATTGGATAGAGGGCTCAATAAGATCTTGGAAATAGATTGGGCGAATACTCGATAAAAATTTACCCTACGTAGAACTCGGCCGAAAACCAGGCTAAGAAGGATTTAGAAATGAAACCCCCTTGTAACAATGACGGAAAAATTTTATACGCTACTCAATGTATTAAATTATAATTAATATAGTTAAAATAAATTAATTTTAAAAGTCAATCTCCATTCTTATGTTAATTTTGAAGTTTGAAACTTCATTCTCTTATCTCTGAAGTATAGAGTTTGATATTTTTGATCTAAAAATAATTAGAGATATTTTAGAATATACTTTTTGCTTTCTTACTCTGATTATATACAGTAAATACCAATTTCCTAATTTATTTATTTCGGGACTTTTATAGATACATTTTTTTTGATGAAATTATTATTTGCAGAGATAACGTCTTTTAACGAAAAATAAATACTTAAATTTTAATATGTGATCAAAAATGACTGTCGCATAAAGTGTCACATCATCAAATGTCGTATGATAAAATGTATGAGTGATAAAGTGTGGTCGTGATAAATCATCATGATAAAGTCTTATCCCTCATTCATAATTAGTATGAATTCACATTTAGTATGAATTCGCGGCAAAATATATAAAATATGTATATTTATATACTTCCTAAATCGAGCTACTTGTGAATTAGGTGTCTAAATAATGCCAGACCATGCAAATATATCATAAATTGAAAAAACAGAATTCGCTAAATCTTGATTAAAATCTTTTAGTGACAACCGATCTGAGCACATAATAAGGTTATAACCATTGGCAATCTAAGATTGATTATTAGTTTTAATAAATTATGACCATTTAAAAGTTTTACAACTCTAAGCGTTCTTAGTTCCTTTATAAATAAGTCAGGATTTTGTTATCATAAAGATTGTTATTAATTAAAAGCATCTCCTATAGAAATTTTGAATCTTAACCCCCAAAATTAAAGTGATATTGCAAAATAATGTTTTAATTCAAGCATTTGAATTAGAGTTACAGGAAATATAAGAAAACTTAGCTATTGATTTAAATATCTTAAAGAAAAAAAATCCTCTAGGCGTTTAAAATTAACTTTTGAAATGAAATATTAATTAAATTGTGAAATTTAAACGAATTCAAATTATAAAATATGAACCCGTTTTTTTAAATATTTTTTAGACTAGAGGTTTAAGCCAAATAATAAAGTTAAATTATAAAAGTAAGTTTGGGTGAATTCGGTTCTCCTAAAAACGGGCTTGACCAGATTCTTAGTTTGAGATCAATCCCGAGTGATAATATATTGAATGGTAGATGAGATGCATAATTTTTTATTTCACTTCCTTCCGAATTCATAAATAAAATTAATATAAAATATATTTGTTATATTCTACAAATGTAATCTAACACTAAACTAAATAATATTATTACTTAAATTAGAATTACATTCTATAAACAAATTATTATTACACTTTTTAACTAAAAAAAATTATGTGTTAAACAAAAAAAAAATCATTTGTATAAAATGGTAATTTAATGTTGAAGGGAATGCTTTATTTATTCGGAATTTTATTATTGATCGGTAATTTTAAATATTTTTTTTTAAAATGTACCCATAAAATTCGTCAATGCAGATGATGGTTATTCCACATTAACCCAAGGGGTGATTAATGAGATATTAAAGGCGCATAACGATCTCAGGGCTACCGTTAACCCTTCTTCAGACGCTATGTTCATTCTGGTATAAAAAAAAATTATATTTCCAAGTTATAGATTAAGAAGGCTTAGTGAAAGTCAATTATTTATAGGCGTTTTCAAAATTAAACGAACAGCGATATCGCTCAAGCTATGCGTAATTTATCGCTAAACGAAAGCATAGCTATATAATTTAACATTATATATTTTGTTAAATTACCTGACGCTTGAATGATATCGCGATATTCCGCGGTTACCATAAACAAGATAAATTTATTATTGTTGAGATCTGAGATGTTCTTGTTGCCCCCTTCCCAAAAGGAGCAGTTGGATTTAAATTCGTTAATCGTACAATTTTTATCATAAAAATTATTATTCAATTAAATAAAATTGCAATTATTTTAAAATCATAATGATAATCAATCACCTATCTTATACAATGTTAAAAAAATTTAAACATTGATAATATATTTAATAAAATATTATAAGAGAAATGGAATACGGAAGGAGCTAAGAAAGCCGAAATAAATTCAAAACGATGTCTTTTCGCGCACGATAAAGCGGAGGAGATGGCTATAACGGGTAAATTTAAATAGTACTTGTAAGAGTTTTAGCAAATCTGGGTTTTTTTAGCAAATATTTAAAATTTGAATCATTTATAGAATGCGTTTTTTTAATTTTGAAGAACATAATTATGCTGGAATTACATCCCAGGACAAAAAGAGTATCTACTCCATGATTATCAGGACAATTTCTATGTCAACATTTTAAATGCTTTTAATTTATATATATATATATATATATATAACAATTTTTTAGAATTAAATTTAAATAAATGTACAAAAATGAGCCAAAATATCTCACAATGATTAAATACGAATCCGATAAAATCAAATCTTTCAAAATTAAAAAACACGTATCGTTTTTAAAATTTGTCAAAATTCTGGATATTTTGGCATAAGTTCCATATTGGCTAACTAATTCAACATGTATAAATTAATTTTAATAACAAAATGCTTATAGGTTACACTGTTGGAGGACAGAATTTATTTTTATCCTCTGGTGAGTTTAAATGGACAGATGTTATCAAGGCTTGGCATAGTGAAGTCCAAAAATTTAAATATGGTGCCCCCGATTTACACGGAGTCGGTCATTATACACAGGTAAGGTAACATGGTTTTTTTTATAATTTCATTTAATCATAAAAATGTGTTTATTAATAGCTTATCAAGTCTAGTCTAATTATAAATCCTAACAAAAATATTTGCTTTTTTTTAAACATGATCCTAATATTATTTATTTATATCTCCAATTTAAGGTAGTATGGGGTGTTACACGTGAAATCGGATGTTCGGTAACGGTTTGCAAAAATGGGCATTCTTTTACTTGCAATTATTATCCCCCGTAATTTTTTTTGCGCTGTAATTACAGCTAATATGCAAACATTGTTAGTTTACAAATTAGCCAGGTGTTTGTACACACTAATCAGCTTATACCAACTAGCCAGATACTATACAAACTAGCTAGTTAATATACAACCCAGCTAATTTATATACAAACAAACTAGAAATTTTGCTTTATCAACATTTTTTTCAGGTTTTGAGTTATTTAATAACATTTCTCCTTTTACTATGTTTTTGTATATTTTTCCAATTTTTGAGTATTTTATTAATTAAACCTTGTTTTTCTCATTTTGCCCACTTGTATTTTCAACCCATTTATAATCATTTTAATATTTTTTAAACTACATTTTTCTTATATTCCGTTAATTTTGTATTTTATTCTTCCATTTTGGGATATTTCAATTTGATTTTTCTCCGTGGTTGCCTAGTTAATATTTTTTTTTTAGCATTTAATGGTTTTTTAACTTGATATAAAATTTTTATGTAATTTTCCCTTTTTTGCAATTTTTGAACTTAAGGTTTTTGTTTAGCCTGATATTTACTTAATTTCCAATATCTAATTAAACCTACCTCTGCCCCCCCCCCTATTATCACATTTTACTTGATCCAATGAATATATACTTATAAAATTTGCAATACCCTTGATATAAAATAATTGATAGTTTTAGCTGTTTACATACCAACTTGCGAATTTGTATATTAGCTTGCTAGTTTGTAAACTACCCTTCTAGATTGTATGTTAGATAGCTAGTTTGTTAACCGGCTAAGTATATTAGCTGCAACATTACATCAATTACATTTTTTTATTTAGAGAAAATAGAAGTGTATATCGTAGGGGTTTAGAGAATTCAGAACTATATTTCAATCTTTTTAGCGATAAAACTCAAATCATTTATAGTACGCCTTTTTTTTACTCATTTTAGCAGAATCGTATTCTAGCTTGTATTGAATACCAGAATTGTTAATCATTGTCTTATGAATAAGATTTTGGCAAAATCAGGATTCAATCAAACGCTATTAATTAAACATTTTAATTCTTTTATAAACACAGTTATTTATCAATTATAATGATAATGGGATGTTATTTGAATATTCTTACAATTTAATTTTAAGTGTTCTTCGTATTTATAAAAACTCGCATAAATGTCTACAAAACTCCTTCATTCATTGAAATTTTTTTTTTAAATTTATTATTCATGAATATAATTATATTAGAGGTTACTTTTAAAAATATGCCAAAACATAATGTTGTATATAAAATAAATCTGTAGTGCTAAAATAGTTATAAATCATTTTATTTAATAGAGGAAACTTTCCGCCTATCAGCAAACCTTATTTTGCCACGTCTAAGCGTTCCTGCGATGGATGCAAAGAAGGAATGGTCTGTATTTCGAGAGATCCATATAAAGGGATTTTACTAGAGAAATGCGGTATGTATTATATAACGATAAAATTACAAAAAAAATAAATAATTGATTTAAAATTGGTTATTTTCTCTGCCTAACATTTAATAAATATGATTTATACTTTATGTTTAGGAAAGATATGCAAAGATAAATCGGAGAACAATTGTAAAACTATGGGTCAATCTATCGGGGAAAAAAGTAAACACTTTAATGTTGATACATTTTTTCCAAATTCACTATTTTATTGTCCTATAACAATGGTAAGGCTATGCTACTAAAAGCTTAGAAACAGGCCGCATCTTGTCGTTAGGTAAGTCAAGTGAACTGGGCTTATGGCATTTGAATGTCTAAAATGATAAAAAAAAATTATTTGCGCGTGTCAACACTCTGATTCTATCTGTCTTCTGCAGAACCGATTACGCCGAGGTTTTAAGAACCGTCCAGTTTTTGAGTTAGATTTTTAGTTTGGATCGACCCTAAATACATATAATTAATAATTTGTATAATGCCGGCTTCTGCATCTTTTATAACTACCTACAACTATATACTAGTTGGTAATATCACAATTTATTAATATATTATCTTTTCAAATCTTATTTTTTACGAGATTTTATTTTGCCCAATAAACCCCAACCGCGGAGTTAGTAAATCATTTTTTGGGGCATCTTAAACCATAAAAATCCATTCTCTTTTTAGAATAATTTTAATATTTTATTGTTAAGATTATAAATAAAAATTCTATATAACAATTAAAACATAATTTTAATAATTTTATAAAGATTTAGGACATATAAAATACTTGGTTCTTTGAATTTTTCATAAGTAATAGACAAATTAACGAAAGATAAAATATAAATTTTAAATTATATCTTATAATCATTAATGGTTTAAAGTACCATGATTTATTAGCAACCCACTATCAATCATGATTAAAATATACTATCTAGGTGCCAAAATTTTGTAAAACTTCTTTCTCAAACTATAAAAGATCAGAGTTGTTAAATCTAGATTCAAGTATCTAGATCCTGTATCTAGATATAAAAATATGGTATCTGTATCTAGATAGATTTTTGATTAAAATATCTATATCTAGATATTATTTTATACGATGTATCTGTATCTAGATCCAAGTTCCAACTTTGCCATAAAGGTTAGATTTTTATATAAATATTTTTTAAATTTAAAATAAACTAATTAACCAAATTTGATATTAAAATTATTTTTAAATTTTTAATAATTAAGGATTTAAAAATATTTTTATGTAATAGGTACCTACCTTATTTCTATATTACAACAAATATATTAGATGTCCTAGTGTTTTAAATTAAAATACGGGATCGAATGATTTGACTGCCCCACGGTTCAATTAGACTAGTCTCTTTACTATGATAATTATTTTTATTTGTTAACATTTGCCATATTTGCAGAAGGTAAACCGAAGAAGGGGAACGAAGAGAAGGAGAAAAAGAAGAAAGAGATGACGAAGAAAGAAAAAATGGAGAAGAAGGAGGAAAAGGGTGAGCAAAGGAAGAAGGAAAGGAATGAGAAAAACAAGAAGGAGGAAAAAAAAGAGAAAGATAGGGTAGAAAAAAAGAAGGAGGAAAAGAAGGAGCCAAAGAAGGAACAAGAGTATGAGAAAAAGAAGGAGCAAAAGAAGGTAGAACAAAAGAAGGAAGAAAAGAAAGAGGACAAGGAGGAAAAGAATGAGAAAAACAAGAAGGAGGAGGAAAAGAAGGAGGGAAAGAAAGAGAAAAATAGGGTGAAAGAAAAGAAGGAGCAAAAGAAAGTGGAAAAAAAGGAGGAAAAAAAGAAAGAAAAGAAGGAAGAAAAAAAGGAAGAAAAAAAGGAAGAAAAAAAGGAAGAAAAAAAAGAAGAAAAAAAGGAAGAAAAAAAGGAAGAAAAAAAGGAAGAAAAAAAGGAAGAAAAGAAGGAGGAAAAGAAGGAGAAAAAGAATGAGAAAAACAAGAAGGAGGAGAAGGAGGAGGAAAAGAAAGAGAAAAATAGGGTGGAAGAAAAGAAGGAGCAAAAGAAGGAAGAAAAGGAGCAAAAGAAGGAGGAAAAAAAGAAAAATAAGAATGAAGAAAATAAGGAGGAAAAGAGTGAGGAAAGGAATGAGGAAGAGAAGAAAAAGGAGGAAAAGAAGCAAAAAAAGAAGGAGGAAAAGAATGAAAAAAAGATAGTAGAAATGAATGAGACAAAGAAGGTGGAAAAAAAGAAGGGGCGAAAAATTGACAATAAGAATGAGAAAAAGAAGGATAAAAAGAAGAAAGAGAAAAAGAAGAGAAAACATAAATCATGCGGAAATAATATTACATGTATCTTCGCCTCTGGAACAACAAAAATCGAAATAGTAATAAATTCCTGGATCGTTAGTTGCATGTCGTTTTATTTAATGTATAAAAACGTTTATTAATATTATAACTAAGTAATGTTCGCAACTTGTAATTAATTGTGCTATTGATTTAATACTTTTTAGTGAAAATGTTTGCTGCATTTACAAATGTTTTAGAATATTTATGTTTCTAAATCAAGATCTAAATTATTAATAAAAATGTACATTTTTTTTAATGTTGCTGATTTCGTCCCACCGAGGCTTTTTTGCAAAATACTTAATTAGCTTTAGTTGTCTATACTTTGTGACGCCATTTCAATTATTATACTATTAAAAAGGTTTTTAACACTTTAAATACTTTTGCTTGTTTCATTTTTGTTTAAAATTTTAGATAAACTAGCGGATTCTAACTAATTTTCTATGTACAAAGGAAAGAGTATAAAAATTTTACCCAGAATTTTGAGAATTTAATATAGGGCTAATTTTATATAATGTAAACTATAAATGTAAAATCTATCTCCACAAGAAAAAATGGATATATATCATTTGAAATGAGGTTGGAAGCTATCTTATATAATTTACCAGCGATATTAAGATAATATAATACGTTATTTAGATCTCAAGGTAAAATGGATTAATATGGGCCTAATGCAGATGCTTAGGATTTTCGTAAGGATGGCAGAACTTTTAAGCCAATTTTTTAACCATAAATTTTATTAGTTTTAAGCCATCTATTTGAAGGCAGTTAACCTGACCAGATTATATATTTTAAAAAACTTATGCTTCAATTTAAGTCATTTCCATTTTTTTTTAAAAAAAACAAATATTGTGTATGACGACATATTTCACACAGTTTTTGGAGAATGGAGCAAGAGGGGGGGGGGGGGGTCTGTGATGTTTTATTAGTTTAAAATTTTTAAGAAAAAATTTGTTATGAGGAATTCCCCACTCCATTCCCCTTTGATCAAGCTAATGTTCTAATAAAATTAATAATAATCCCATTGGATTGGTATTGTTTAATTTTTATGTTTTCATAAAATATTCAAACACATAGGTGAATTATCATTATATAAATAAAATCCTAATTTTTGTGTCATTCGGAGTGTACAGGCTGTATAAGCAAGTTAAAATTCGTACCCTAGCTTAGGACAAAAAAAATTTAGGTCAATTTTTTCTACTTTTGGTGGGAAAAGTATATTAGAAATAACCTACACCCTAATAAAATCAAACAGATACTTATAGATCTGACTGACCCAAGTACTGGCTTAATCTAATCAAAATAGGGACTTTGCCAAGCTTATACTTTGAAAAAAAAATAAGTTGCATTTTTATTTTAATAAAATATCAACATTGTTTAATAAGTTTCCATATGTTGTTCATAGGATAATCTATAAAATAGATGTGATAAATAAAGATACAATTTCAGTAATATAAATAATGTGCGAAAGAAGTAACATTGAAACAAATTTTGAAGGAGCTCTATAAAAGAGACTTTTAATGATGGTGGAAGGAAGATAAATAAAATTATATATTTTTGAGCACTCTCTCATACATAGCCTCTATAGATTTTTAATATATCTAGCCTAATTAAAAAAATTTGCTATCTATAATATTAAGAATATTTTTTAATACAGAATCATGGTTCTTTTCCTAATTCAGTCTTTACTTATTTGCTTAAATTTTATTTATAAAATATATTATTTATCGTTATACCAATGTCAATTATCGCGATCTATATTTAATTTTTAGAAATACCAAAATGACGATTGTAAAACCTTTAAACATTTAATGATATTATGTTATAGTGAATCCTTTATTTGTGTATATGATAACGGCAATGTGTTATTTTTTCAACTTTAGATTATTTTTTAGCGCGTTTTTTTAAATTTAACTGAAATTACCACAAATGTATTTCAGCACTTTTAGAATACCTACCTTATGAATTTTAGACAATTTTACCGTTAAGCTAATGTCTTTTAGATTTTATATAAAAACTATTAATATTGAGTTCAAAAATTCATGGCAAATTTGTTTGAAATTCATAGGGTAAGTATGATAAACATGCTGGAATACATTTCCGGTAAAATCGGATTTTTAAATTTTAAATGACGCGTTCGAAAAATGATTTTATAGTTGAAAAAATAACACATTGCCGGAAAAATATATTGCCGCTAATATATATACCGATGGGAAAATTTAATGATCATAAACTATGATGATTCTTCAAACTCAACTTTCCTAGAGTAAATAATAAGATTAAAAGAGTCTAGGTTTAAATGACGCCATTATGCTACTCTCAAGTACAATAGCGTATTTAAAGGACCCGTTTTTGGATGAGATGGGCACTGAAGTAGAAAAATGCAAATGTTGAAAAAGAAAAGTTGCATTATAAACTTTTTTTAAACTCACTCACACTTATCACATTGGTACATAAGTTCCTCTTCTATATAAAGCAAGTTCACATTATATTTTCATACCTAGTCACTTATTTATTTATATATATCTGTTCAGAATATTATCATAACTAAAAAAAATCTTCAAAAGGTTAAATGGTATATAAAATTGTAAAATTACATATTTAGTTTCGACAATAATTGGAAGCCAAACTTAAGCTTACTTCCACCACAAGCGAGTATATATGTGGTATTAAATTTATCAGCTTTTATTTTAGTGGAGTCAATTAGAAAAGGCTGAATATTGTAAAAGCGCAAAAAAAAATCGATCCCCCATAACGACTATTATTGGCCAAAAGCGGGGCCTGCTTGCACTAGGAGGATCTGGGAATTCAGCCCTTATTTTTAGAAGGGTTCTAAAATAAAATCCTTGATACGCCACTCGTCTATTGCTCAGTATAATATATAAATGTCTTATTAATTTTTTAATTGATTTTTGTAATATTTAAAAAAAGTGTAGCAAAAATTTTAAATATAAATAAACCTAATTATAATATTTTATTAAATATTAGTACAGAAATAATTATTTTCATTGATTTGATATAAACAAACGTGAAACGCAAGTGTGAGAGAGCGCGATAGAGATTATGCTTTACATTTTAATTTTGGACAACAGTCTGGGTAAGTATATGACATGTTCATGTAACCATTACATTTCGGATCATCCGGTTTTTTGAATATTCCACAGCTATATTTTATAGAAAATTTTTATAAATATATTAGAAAAAATTTGATAAGGGATTATATGGATCGAATTCCCATAAATAGTCTTACTTAAAAAATGGAAGATGCATTTATAAATATGCTATATTAGGTCATTTATAAAAAAAATAATTAATCGTGACATTTATTAAATAATAATCAAAGACTTGCCGTTTATAAATCAGGGATTACAAATTTATATAAAAATTTTAGAAAGATGAGTCAATCTAAATAAAACTTGATTATATGAATAAACCAGCTGGAAATCATATGTTTGATCATTTAACATTCAATTGTCTCCCATATTCTTATATTTTTCTTACCATTTATATTTAAAATGAGGAAATTTTATTGGGCTCTACCCCGGGAAATCTCAATAGCAAGAAATTATGTTTTAAGCTTTGTAACATTTTATAGGGTATAGTAATGATATCTTTATTAAGATGCAATAACACCCATTTTTAATGTATTTAACTTTTACCCGCATCCCGTTACCTTCAATTCTAAGGCCTCATTTATAGCAAACGCGTTAGGCTATTACAAAATTAAGCCAATAGATGGGTATAAATTTATAAATATGTAACGTTATGATGATAACGCTATGATAAAATTTGAAAAACATATGTTGCGATGCGTTGATAAAAAATATTCGATACGATTATAAAAATAATAGCGAATTCGATAAAAAATATATGATTTTTCTTAAATATTATATAAAAAAATTATCTCTATTTTAGCTTTATCTTAAATTAGTTTTTTTAGTTGTCAGCTGTAATAACGTTTCGTTAAATAACGCAAAGTTTGAAGATAACGCGTTTACTATAATGGCAGCGTGACTCTAACCTTTTAGAGGAGGATATAGAATAATGTTTTTTTAGTATTTTATTAGCCCCAATAAAAAATTTCCTGGTTGTTATTATTATTCTTAGTTTGGACGTATTCCCGATAATTGTTATAATGTCTTTGTTCGAGAATTTTCTTTCAAAGAAAATAAAAAATTTTTTTGATTATTTATAGAAAGCTCATATTATTATTAGTTTACCTAGCGCGTATAACAAAATATATTTTGGCATTATTTTGATTTTTTTGTCAAAATAATATTGAAATAACTAGATTGACTTGGATTAGTGGATTGGTTATTTCAAATACTTACAGAAAGAAAGAAAGAAAGAAAGAAAGAAAGAAAGAAAGAAAGAAAGAAAGAAAGAAAGAAAGAAAGAAAGAAAGAAAGAAAGAAAGAAAGAAAGAAAGAAAGAAAGAAAGAAAGAAAGAAAGAAAGAAAGAAAGAAAGAAAGAAAGAAAGAAAGAAAGAAAGAAAGAAAGAAAGAAAGAAAGAAAGAAAGAAAGAAAGAAAGAAAGAAAGAAAGAAAGAAAGAAAGGAGTATGTGCTTAAATTATATATTTATCTTATTTTTAATTTTTTTTATCGACGTACAAAATATAAAAAGTAATCCTTTACGATGCCTTTATAATAATAATAATACTTTATTTGTCCTAGACTTAAAAGTCGATTGGTGTATTCATATTTTTTTTATAAACATAAATTAGCATCATTATTATTTAAATATTAAATGCTGCTATATAGTCTAACAAAATGTTTAAATAACAGCTGTTGAACGATATTATATATTTATTTCAAACTTATTTTTCAATTTTGCGAAATTGATTTAAAGTAAAAACATTAATTGAGTTGAATATATTAATAATGATGGCTTACAAGACAGACTGGTAAATATCTTTAAAAAATTATATTTTAAACGACCTAGTGATAAACTAAAAGATCCGTGAGAAAGACTAGCGAAAGCCAGCTCCTTCAGTTTTTAATACGTCTCATGACTTGTCTTTGAGATTGATGGAAGGGGGGGGGGGGGGTATTAATTAATACGGATCGGATTGAAGCCGTTTAGTCTGGGAAAAACTTTCCTCTCTCAACTACATAGTGATGTATCAGACTTCATTAAATTAAACTAGTTATGACAATAAATAAATAAAATAATTATTTCAAAATGTCTTACCCAGTGCAAACATAGGTGTAGGTTGAGGCGAGTTCTTTGCATTTACATACCAAACATCTGCCGATTGGTTTATAATCCTGCCTAATTTTTATTTTGACGCCGCCAAGTTCAGCAGGAAGTTGACAAACCTCTGTTGTTCCAAATTCATTTTTTAAAGATTAGTAAATGGATTGTATAGTATATGTATTGTATATCATATTAAGAATATAATAGAGATGGAAATACATATTTGTCTCCCAATTACGATCAAAGCGTAATTTAAACCCCGGCGTTCACCTTGCTTTTAGAGGTCTGTTAGATCCAAAAAAAGCTGACCCATGTCTGTCCTATTTTTAATAATTTTAGGCATAATTCGTCTATTATAATATTTTCTAAAAATTAGATGCGCATCCGTCCTGTCCTAGGAATAAGTACTACACAAAATTATGGATGGAAAGTAGATTACCGGATATCTTTATAAGAGAGGAAGTCAGACCAGAATAGGATGGACCTCTGAGTGGATCTGTCCCTAAGGCCTTGTGATATTCTAAAACTTAAATACTATATATCCAAGTTAACTTTAAAAAAATTTTAATCGAGACGGTGGTTAACAATGTTAACTTTAATAACTTTTTAATCCTTGAACATAGAAATCTTAAATTAAGTGTAGTTGTATTTTTATATACAATTTATAACTAAGTCTATTTTTTAGCAAAAGTTTTTGAGCTGTTAAATTTTACCGAAAAACCGTTTTTACACATAAATTATGAAAATTACATTCTAGTATATTTTTTTTTAGCAAAATGCAATTATCCTAATGATTTGAAATTTTGTACACTTGTTAATTAAAGTCTTAGCTATAAAATAAGTCATTGGACGTTTATAGTATAGAAAGTCTGGTAACAATTTATATAATAAATATATTGATGTAAAGCAGTTTTAATACGTCTGATATTTAAAAAATAATTTTAAAAATATTAAGTTCTACTATATATAAAAAAAATGAGCAAGAAACATTAATTAATAGTTTGTTATATGAAATAAAATAGTCGCAATGGAAGAATAATTGAAATTGTTCCTAAAATGGGTACACTCAAAATTTGTTAATTTCATTACATTCACTTATTGTGTTGATTAATTTTTTATTAAAATTAATATATGATAAATTTTTAATATTTTGTTTAATAAAACAATAAAATTGACTTCAATTTCATTTTAAAACACTTTACCTTGACTTAGACATTTTACCCTGGGTACGGGATAATGTGGTAGAAATGGTCCCATCAGAAACACATATATATACTTATGCAACTCAAGCTCAAGTTTACACATCAGTGCGTATATTTTTAGTTTCTTTTCGAAAATTATTTTATGTAAACCAAAACATAATCAATTATCTTAAAATGCGGATTTAGAAAAGAAAAAAATTATAATGACCTTATAGTCTACTTTATAAAAATTTAAGACAACCATAAAAATTACTTAGATCCTTATAGGTTTTAATTATTTCCTTTCTTATGCGGATTTAGAAAAGAAAAAAATTCTAATGACCTTATAGTCTACATAAAAATTAAGACAACCATAAAAATTACTTGGATCCTTATAGGTTTTAATTATTTCCTTCCTTTTGGTTGTGGATACGAAGTAAAATAAAATTAATATATAAATTACACAAGCATTATATTTTAATGTGTGATTCATTATAATTAAAACATTGAAAAAATAAATAATACGATTTTCTTGAAAAAAATAAAATTTTATCAAAAACATTATTAAATTTAGAATTCAATTCTATATTTAGGCAACCTATTGTATTTAATTGTGGAAGACAGCTTATCTTGATGAATAGTTCATAGTAAAAGCCAATATTCTATATTATTTCTTAGATTGCATAAACAAAACATGGCAATTATATGATTTATGGGGCCTGAAACGTTTAAATAATCAATGGAGAAAAATTTAAATACTCAAGTTGAATTCATAGCCGGATTTGATCCTATAGGATTTAACAGTTGAGATTTTAAAATCTTTTAGTGAGATTATTTATTTTTTAAAATCAGTAATTCTATTATGATATATAAAATTAAAATTAATAAAGAAAAATTGATTTCATAAACATATTTTAAAAATCGAACAGTTGTTAAATCGTATCGAATCCTAATGAATCCAGTCTTATAAATTTCTTATCTGCTTTAGTAGTATTAATTTTAAAAAATCAAGATATTGATCCAAAAACATTCTTTATGAATGCTTTGACACCATTTTGTAAAATATATGTGATAAATTCCTTTCTGATTAAACTTGGCGAGTGGGTTTATCATATTTAAAATAATCGCTAGTTATTTAAGTTTGTTCACTATTCAGGGTAAAAAAATAGTTGTATTATAAAAATTATATATATGCTTTTTATATAGATGAAAGCATTGAGTAAAAATCCCGGTGATCATATAGCTAGCTAGAAAAGCTGACGACTCATCTAAAATTAGCCTACGTAGATAACTTAACACTATTCAATCGTAATAACATGGAGATTTCAAATATAAATAATCTATCATAAAAATGTAATCCAATTTTTTTTAATTCTCTCCCTATATTTATTACCCCCCCCCCCTCCAATCCACTAAGCAATGAGAATAATGTAAATCGATTTGCCATATTCTAATTGTATAACAGAAGGGATCCCTTACGTAAACTTGTAGATAGGTGCATTTACCAAATCCAATGCTCTATAAATGGTCATTACCAAGACATCAAAGCGAAGTAAATACGCTGTGCAGCTCTAGAATATATACTATTTTCAGAGTTGTTAAAAGATACTTTTTAAATGGATCTAGATACAGATACATTGTAGTCTAAAAAAGCTATCTAGATCCAGATATAGATACATCGTCCAAAATGTTATCTTGACACAGATACAATTTTTAAAATGTATCTAGATACAGATACAATTCCTTAATATTCTTATATAAGCTTTGCACAAACCTAAATTAGGATTCTATTGTGAAAATGTATGAAATGAGTTAAAAATTTTATTGACTAGATATCACATTTAATCAAAATTAAAATAATGATTTTTAGATTTTAATATAATAATATAATATATGAAAATATATGATTAAATGATTATAAATAATTATTAAATTTCAGTAGTAAAATATTTTCAAAATTTTGGTCATTAAGTTATCCTCGTTAATCCATAGACATTTTTCGCTACACTAGAATGCCTTTCTACCAGGGCACTTGAAGGGATTGTGGTGTTATATTTTATGAATAACAATTTTATATCAGGATATAAAAATATTAAAATCTGGGCATTCATTTTCAAAAAAATTATTTAAAATTTGTTGAGTATCAAAATTTAAATCCTTAACAATAATATCTGCTGCTGTGGGGTATTGAAAAAATAGGATATTAAATTAATTGTTTTTTTCGCAGGTTATTTGTTTGCAATCAATTGAAGACCTTGATAATTCATCAACTAGTCTTTGTATTAATTGTTTTTTCATTAACAGTGTTTGATTTTTTCTCTTAAAATTTAAAATTACAATTAAAACATTTATTCAGTATCTACACCCTTAAATGTTTTACTATGTTGCAAGTTGAGGTAATGCTAACTGAAATTTTCATATTTTTTGGAGATATGGCAAACTTTCTACTATCAGAGATTTATTTTTTATTTTGAGATATTATTTTAAAATATGCTCTATAAATTGGCCATGGAAAAACAATGTCTGAACTTATTGATGCTTCATTGATTATTACTTCTCCCTCTTCATCACTATTAATATTAATCTAAAATAAATTTTTAAAATTATTATAATAAAATAAAATAACTAATTCCATTGAAAATTAAAATTACAGATTTTGGGTTTTATTGTAATATCAAAATTTGTCTGGTTTATTGATAAACTCTTACATAATATTTAATGAATATTTATGTATCAATTTTTTTTATATATTTCAATATTTTATATATATATAATTTTTAATTATAGTAGTCTTAATCTTAATATTTTTTTTTAATATATATATATTCAATTTATATACTCATATGAAATAAAATAATTTTGCATTCAAGCATTTTTATTTATAATATAAAAAAGAGTTAAATAAAAGTATATCAAAATATATCTTAAAAAGTATCTAAAAACAGATACAGATATCTCTAAAATAAAATCTAGATACAGATAGAGATATTTTAATCACAAATATATCAAGATACAGATACCACATTTTCATATCTAGATACAGGATCTCGATACTTTTATCTAGATACTTTAACAACTCTGACTATTATACAGTATTACTACCATGCTAGAGAATTTCGGAAAAGAAGCGATCCATTTTTTTAAAAATGAAAATTTAATTATCATTAAGAGGGATCCAAATGAAAATCTATCTAAGAAAAAATATCGCTTAAAATTTACAGATTCAACAAGATTTCTATTCATGGATTGATGTCCAACAAATTTATAACCACAAAATATAAATATAATTACATTTTTAATTATATCCTAATTTTTTATAATTAATTTTGTCTTGTGGGATTTTGTTTTTGTATGAGATTTTTTTTCCCTTGGAAAATATTTTCCTGAGATTTTTTTCCCGCGATTTACATATTTTTTATTTAAGTTTTTTTAAAAATTATTAAAAAATTTTTTCAAATAGTCATTTCCAAATTTTTCAATAAATAAATAAATAGTTTAATGATAAATAAGAAAAATTAATAATATATTTAAAAAATAATTAAATAACTATTAATAAAATACAATTCTTTTTTATCCTGCTAAGGACATGAAAATTTACACTTCTAGAAGAAAGCGAAAAGAGAAAGAAACGAAGAGTCCAATATCAACTTTCTCTAAAAAGTACTATAGTTGGGATACCGACCATTTCTACGAACAACATCAGAGTTTTTCTTATTTGAACGATTTCATCTTGGACTGGGTCCTCCTCATTAGAGTTTTCATGATTCGATGATGATTTAAAAGTCGGAAGGGTGTGGGATGAAAATGCTAATGAAGAACGTTTTTTAATTCCTTTTTTTATGTAGCGGGCTATGTATTCCGAGTAAGTATAAATTTTAAACTGGCAATAGAGGAGCAAGGAATCTAAGTCTAATTTTTTTAAATATATTAAAATATACATCACGAATTTAATAAATAATAAAATGTAAAAAAAGTATATATATTTCTTTTTCAATACAATTATTTCTTTCTTCCTATTCGTACAACATTTTTCAAAAAAAGTTTTATGTGTTATACTTTTAATTTGAAATATCAAATAATGTTAAAAATATAATCATAAATATTTCTCGATAAATCAGACATAATTAATTGGTAAACCCCAAACAATATTTAATTTCAATGTAACTTACAGAATAGATATAACTAAACTAACTAGTGGGTGAAAATGTGGGAAAAATTTTCTAAACAGATAATTTTCTAAAGCAGGGTGGGTAGTGTAAATTTCTGGAATAACATATAAAACTTTCCTTAGATATAAATAACTAACCCATTTTGGATTCATTTTTACGATTTTCGTTATCCTCACAGAAGTTTATGCAGTGAGAATTAGAGCTTTCGAGCATAGGTAGGCATTGCTGGAATGGGTGCCAATCTAAATTTTTATTACACAACAAAAAGCAAGGTTCGTATTTCGACTTGTATCTCATTTTAGAGCATGAATGAATATAGTAACCCATGTAATAGTATTTGAAAGAGGGATTAATGATGCTATACTTGCGACACATAGCCACTTCGCTTGTAAATTTAAAGCAAAATTTTTTTAAAAAATTACATTCACAATGTTAGGTTAAATAAAATGGTGTTAACAAGAATTCCATCATTAAGAAAAAAAAGAGTCGTAAAATAAAGAACAATATATATAAATTTAGTAAAAAATCATTTAGGAAATTATTTAAAGACTGGATGTTTAATTATAAAAGCATTCATTCACTAGTGGCTTCTAATGTTTTTCATCATTTATATTATGAGTGCTAAAAAAGACTCAATTATTTACAAAATTAAAATCTATAAACCATAAAGCCGAATAAACGCCCAACGATAGATGTGAAAAATTAGGGTCATAATAGAAATATTTGGAAGACAAACAATTCGGCAGGATATCTATCACCCCAACAGCGACCAACTTTTCATCCATCCAATACTGGCAATGAAAAGTTCCGAACGTAGTTATGAGAGGAATGAATTGATTTTGAAAATCTTCTTTAAGCGCATTTATTGGGTTATCTTTGGTTTGAGCAGAATTCTGAGATATGTATATTGTGCATACCAATTTTTTTTTATTAGTGATTAAATGAAAGAAAAATAATGCTTTAGAATTTAAAAAATATATATTTGCGTATAGTTAATAATTTAATTTAAATTTTGATTATAATGCTTAGAGAATTTTAATATTGTTTATTTAATTTTTAAGGGAATATTAAATTTTTTTAAAATCATTTATCTTATTTTTATAATCTCTGTCAAACCAAGATGTCGAACCGTTATGCGTAAAGGTTCAGTTCCATTCCCGTTAAAATGGTTTAGTTCTGTTCCCGTTATTTCGGAATTGGGTTCATTCGGCATAAATATTTACATCAGCTTTTTCCGGTTTAAAAAATATTATAAGCTTCTATTTTTTAAATTTATTAATAATATATATTTTTATAATTAATGTTTCAAATGTCACTGTCCAGAAAATCATGGAAGCTTAGGTATTTGGCCCAGTGCATGTCTAGAGCTAACCGTTGCTTTATAGTAAGTCTTTTGGCACTTTGCAAGTTGTGACCTCTGGAAGATATTAAGTTTAGGAAATCTCACCTTTGATCCTTTCTTTCTTAAGTAGCCCAAAAATTAATACAAGACACTTTTGAGTTTTTTTTATTTAAGAAAGCAAAAAAATTATAATTATTGCGTAAAATTACAAAAATTTTACCTTTTTATAATTTTGTCATTATAATTACAAATAATATAAGTTTTATAATAATACAATAATATCAATACAATAATATCAATACAATAATATCAATACAATAATATCAATACAATAATATCAATACAATAATATCAATACAATAATATCAATACAATTAATATCAATACAATAATATCAATACAATAATATCAATACAATAATATCAATACAATAATATCAATACAATAATATCAATACAATAATATCAATACAATAATATCAATACAATAATATCAATACAATAATATCAATACAATAATATCAATACAATAATATCAATACAATAATATCAATACAATAATATCAATACAATAATATCAATACAATAATATCAATACAATAATATCAATACAATAATATCAATACAATAATATCAATACAATAATATCAATACAATAATATCAATACAATAATATCAATACAATAATATCAATACAATAATATCAATACAATAATATCAATACAATAATATCAATACAATAATATCAATACAATAATATCAATACAATAATATCAATACAATAATATCAATACAATAATATCAATACAATAATATCAATACAATAATATCAATACAATAATATCAATACAATAATATCAATACAATAATATCAATACAATAATATCAATACAATAATATCAATACAATAATATCAATACAATAATATCAATACAATAATATCAATACAATAATATCAATACAATAATATCAATACAATAATATCAATACAATAATATCAATACAATAATATCAATACAATAATATCAATACAATAATATCAATACAATAATATCAATACAATAATATCAATACAATAATCTTTTACACAAAAGATAGCATGAGTCACCATAAGTCTCGCAATTAAGCCAATTACGAAATAATACATTATATTTAAAAAACTAAGCAAATGTTACAAAAAAATATTGCGCGTAAAAAAACTCCTTAGGGAAACAGCAAAGTCTAAAATAAAGTGGAGTGAGAATTGATCCTCAAGCTCCTTTTCCATAGGTGGGTCCTCGAGACAACCGCCACTTATATTTTAGACCTTGGAAATAATTTGCACGAAGTCATTGATTCTGAAAGTAATATAATCGTAGTTAGTATGCCCACAAAATTCAGAAATTGAAGCCTCTTCTTCTTAGCCAAGGCATGAAACTTGTAGTAGCTCTCTGTTGATGTATCAATTATTTTTCCCTTCTAACAGGGGCAGAAGGAGCAGGATGCAGCGCTATTTTTTTCAAATTTTGGCCTTCAATAGACTGTTTGTACATTTCTAACTTTCTTAACATGGTTCCAGGCATAAATATATTGTGTTTTCCATCCAAAAACCTGAGACTCGAATTAGATCTGTAAGGTCTTAATTTTGCTCTGGAATTATTGAATCATATGATAGTACTACCATACAGATGTCTTCGATGCTCCATACCCTCAGAAAATCTGGGTATTTATTACATTATGTATATAGATTGGGCGTATCTCTCAACACATTAGATAAATATAAAAGAAGGGGGCATACTATCAACTTTGGATATTCTTAAATTGATATTCCCTCAACAATCGTGGATGGACTACCTTTATTTCTTGGAAAATATAAATTCTCACATGGAACTTATTCTGCGTAAATGTTTCTAGATGAATCCACAATTTCAGCTACCTAGATCTCCTTGATTCTCTGAACAAGGATACTTAAAATATTATTATAAAATAATTACAATTTTTTAATATTGAGTCTATTCCAAAATAGTCTATCCTTTCCTGACAATTGTGTTTAATTATATTTGTGATAAATATTTATAAAATAAACTTCAACAAACAAAGGCGTTTCAACCAAAAATTCTTTGTACGATTCAAATTTGATTTCAGATAATTGACTTTTATGGATTTCCGATTGATATTTTCGGTAAAGGTTATATGATTCATTTAAACTATCTTTAAAACTTAAGTTACTCGTGTTAACTGAAACTAATTTTATCTGAATAATTATATTTAAAATGTAATAAATCTATTATAAATATACCTTTAAAGCATGTTTGGAATTCTCAATTATTGGTAGGCATAAGTAATCTTCAAGAGTCTTGCTTAGAGTATCAGGCTTTAAAATGTCATAAAGTTTATAAAAATTATTTATTCATGTATTGATTGATATTGATAAAATATTTATAAAAAAATTCATTTTTTTATATATAATAAAACCTCAAGACTGAAATCATTTTTATTATCTTTACTTGTCAATTTCTCTTGCATTTTTAGTAAAAACTTTTCCTTTTTTAATAATTTTTTTTTCTTGCATAGGGGTTTATTAGGATCTTGCCCTATTCCTGAAAGTTTTTTATTATAATTTTAAAAGATGTAAGAACTTTTGATTATATTAGTTGAAAGAATATATTATCCGTGATATAAAATTTGGTTTATAATATAACTTTATAAATACACCATGGTATATTTTGAGTGTCCCGTTTAACAGCTGGCAATAATTTCACAAAATAGATGCCAAAATGTTTTCACTTATGATATCAAAATACATTCTCAGGTTTAAAAAAAAATTGTTTCTAAAATTCCTGGCTGTCCTAGCTCGTTATTCCGTTTCTTTTCAGAATTAAGGATGTCTAGATAGAATGTCATATTTAATTATAGATTTTAAAAATAGTTACATCTTTAAGAATACTTTACACAACAGGGTGTTATCAGATTATAAGAAATCTAAAATATACTCTTTCTTTCCTTCTTTAAAATACAAACCAAAAAAGGGTGCCCCTAGCTAGAAAGCTCTTTCAATACATAAAACATTGGTACCTGACTTTTTCGTGTCCTTATGTTATACAAATTCTTCGCTACCCCTAAAAAAGGTCAGTTACTGGAAAAAGCCAAATGGCACAGGATTAAACTAAGCTTAGATATAGAAAACCCTAAAAGATTCTGCCTAACAAAATTAATAGAAATATATAAATCATTTAATTCTCATTAGAAAATATTCAGCAGATAAAAAAATTTAATTTTCCTTTAATGTTTTAATTCCAAATAAATAATGTGAGGTGGGTTAATGGCTTACCCCCATTTAAAGGTGTTATATCCCATTCTAATTTATTTAATACCCTTGATATTTTAGATTAGACATATTAAGTTGGCCTTAAATTTACTGTTCTGATCGACAAATTTCCCATCAATCCTATACGATTCTATATTCAAATGAAACTGATCTGATATTTACACAAAACCGAATTTAAATTAATTTTTTATATCTCATAAAAAAAATTTATAACTGTAAACGAGCAAGCAAGAAACACTGAAATTTTCCATTTTTTATGACCAAGGCAATATTTAATATCACGAATGACTAATAACATTATCCCCCATAAAGTTGATCATCTTATTCAAAATATGAGCAACATTTATGGTTGATTGCCACCCATTAAATTTAAATCCTTTTCTTGTTGCAAAAACAAAAAAAAAATGATATCTCATTTTGCTAGCTTTTTCTTTTATAATATTTCATTTTTTTTAAAAAAACATTTAAGAAATTAAGTATAAAATTAGTGTTGTTTGAGCCGATTTTTTAAAATGACTAACTCAGTATTTTATCCATAGAAATATTATGTAAGCCTGAAGATTTTGCTCATAGATAATACAAAAGTCTAGACATGTATTAGCGAAATCTGGAGATTTAAGCAATTTTTTTCTGGCTTAAATATAGTTGTTTTTCAAAAGCAGCTCAAAACAAGCCATTTAACAACACTATAAAATAAAAAAAATATTATATAATTATATAAATAAACAAGGGCAACAAATCTACTAAAAATACAAGACAGGTAAATTGTAAATCGAGATGACATAAATGTGAATACTTAAAGTTATTTTAGAAATTTATTATATTTATATAAGCTCTGCAAATCCTAGTACATATTTTTAAATCTTCTCTTTTTTAAAAAATAGTGAAATTAAATATTAAATTGGAACATTTTAACAGGGGCTTCTCACAATTACTCTCAAAAATGGGGGTTTTGTTTATATCTTAAAACTTTTATATCTTTCTTCATTTTTGGCAACAAATTTGATGAACAACACCATGACATCTTCTTTTATCTCTAAATATAACCTTATAAATTAATAAATAGGGCACTAAATATTAATGCAGGTATTGATTGAGAACTTATATATTCCTGTCTAAATTACCAATTTCATTGCAAGAAAAGGAGAATTCCTAACCATTTTAATAATTTAAATTTGATCTATTTGATAGCTATTAATATTTCACATAATTTTTAAAAAATTATATTGTCCTGTCATTTATGTAATAAAATTATAAATGTCTTATGAATCATCTGTTCAAATGTCATTTATATGTGTAGCACCCCAAAAAAATAGAATTCCTTACACCCCACCCCCCTTGAATAAATGCTGGCTATGCCATTACCTATTGAGATCAAGGCAATGCTGTAAAGAGTAAATATATATTTATATTTTAAAAATTATGAGTATATATATATATACCTGGGTTAAATTTATTTTTTCCTAAATCTTTTTTATATGAAATCAGATTATTTAATTTATCATGAGACTTAATTTTATTATTTTCCATATTCACACTGGTTTCATTAAATTTCTATGTGAAATGTAATTAAAGTTGTAATTAATTATTACAAGTTTTCTATCATCATGTGTGCCATTTAAATAACTTTCCATCTTTTTTAAAACTTTTTTCTGAGATTTGCTGATAATAAAATTATTTGCTTCACATCTAGTAATGTATTATTTAAAAAATGTTAATCAAAAATTATTTCGTATGAGTATACCTAATTGTGTGATGAGGGCAACACATTTTAAGTATATCTGGTTTGTAACAAAATTTACCACTTCTATATATAAATATTTTATTTTAAGCATTTTTTTATACCGTCTCCATCCCCTATCTAACAAATTTTGATAGTCTGACACATTTAAAATATGAGCCCATATACCTTATGAAGTTTACTTAATAATTTTAATGTGTTTATTTACCATAAGATATATTTGAATCTTTAGATTTACAATATCCACATTTATAATTTTCATGCCAGCCTAAATTTTCGACTATCGAATAAGGTTCCATGTGATTAAAACTAGTTGAGCAACCTTGAATCATCGGTCAGGTGTCACCAATGGCACATCATTGTCAGACATAAAATATTAAGATTTCATGTCTCTAAAGGGGGGCACTGGTGTCGCGCCATAATGCAAGATGTTACATAGAAAAATATGAATAATGAGACATTTAATGTTATTAACCCTCCTTTAATAATGAGCTACAGCTTCAACTCTAAAAAAGTAGTATTACTGATTCTTTAGACCACTATAACTAAGTTAAAGCAATTAAATTTTTTGAAAATAAATCCTAATTTAAACCCAAGCAAATTTGTAGAAACCAATAGAAGCATATAATTTATTTTAAATTCCTAAGAAGACTTATTGTTGCCAAATGATAGGATTAAGTTAATAAATAGTAAATTTAAAATGTAAAATGATTAATATTAAAATTTTCCTCGCTTCAACTTGTCATCGTGATGCCATCTTATGACTTATCATCTTCAAAATTATAATAAATAAATGAATAAATAAATCAACAAATATAAGAATTGAATTTTCTATAAAAGAGTAATTATGCCATATATAATAAATGATTATGTTAAATGTTTTGATATTTCAATTTCCTACATATAAAGAGAAGATCTTATGACAAGGATGTAAAAGCAAACATGTTTTTAGAAAATCATCTATATTTAAATCCATCAGAATATGTGTAATCTTGAAAGTTTTGAATACTGTGTGTTCATATCTGTTTTCTGCAAAGTATTTATATTTTTTAATAATTCGACCCTAGCACAGTTTTTTTTACATATCATTCTTACTTCACCAATTCGGCATTTTATCATCTTTTCAAGTATTGTTTATATTATTAAATATTCTGATTTTAAATAAAATAGGTTAACAATTTTTTTAAAAATGTATGCCGCCATTGAATGAGAGATGATAGACTTACGCCAAATAGCGTACTAGCAAAAAATAAATGCTATATTTTTTCTTATTTATACGCATTTTCCGAATCGATAATAAGTTACGAAGGGGTCAAGAAAATGGATGTATAAATAATATCGTAAACGAAATTCAATTACCTTAGAATTTAAAATTAGTATTTAGAGTATTGGATTCACAAAAAAGTACAGACCTTATTGTTAATAGTAAATTATATATTTTAAGGTATGATGATATCTATTACCAGCTTTTCAGCAATATGTTTATATCATTTTTTTAAATTTTGGCCACTCCAAGTAATTGTAGTTATTAATTTTTAAGGATAATTTTTGATATATAAAATAAAAATAAGATGGCAATGAATAAGGAAATTTAATGATTGAGAAAAGAATATATATAAAGAAATACATTTTTAATTATATTGTATGTCTTATTTTAAAGGTTACTTGGACATTAAAGTTCTTATCTTGGACTTACACTTATTCTATAAAATTGACACACAACAATCCTTAGCAAGCTTCAAATACAAATTTAGGATTTACAGTATTGGATTCACAAAAAAGTAAATTGACTTTATTTATTGTAAATAGTAAATTATATATTCTAAGGTATGATATCTATTGCCATCTTTTCAGTAACGTTATATATAATTTTTTTAAATTTTGGTCACTCCAAGTAATTATAGTTGTTAATTTTTAATGTATAAAATAAAAATAAAATGGCAATGAATTAGGAAATTTAGAATAACTGAGAAAATAGTAAATTTAAAAAAATACATTTTAAATGATATTGTACGTCTTATTTTAAATATTACTTGGAAACATTAAAGTTCTTACCTTGTGATGACTTAATACATAAAATTGACACACAACAATCCCTAGCAAGCTTCAAATTTACAAACAATTTCTCATTTTTTATATAAATTTTTTTATTGAATTTCTTATGTTGAAATTTATAAATTATATCTTTTGATATTTTTTTTAATAAAGTTGATAAAAATAAATTACACTTAATGAACTCCCATAATCTTCTTAATTAATTTATCTCAATTAATATAATTTTAAAAACTTATGAACCATTTGGAAAATATTTGTATTAATTTCTAACAGACTTCTTGAGATTTTCTTATGGTTCTTCAGGGTTTCTAGAATTATTTCAAAGGTCAAATTATGTATTTTGTCAAAATTTTTGCCATTAAAATATTTATTACAAATTTTAACATTTTATTAAAATTTATTTGGTGGCAATTTTTTTTATTTAAAAAATTGATATTCAATATACTAAATTTTTAATATAGTCATTTTTTAGTTGATGATTTTAAAAAAAAGATTAGTTCAGATTTTAAAAAAATTTCCAATTTTTAGAATGTGAATTGTATAAGCAATACAAATTAATCTAAGTAAACATAATTGGTGTGATTATATGGTGTTGTAATGAAATGTATATAAAAATGGTATGATTTAAAAAGATATCTTTATTCAATATATTTATTTATAATATGCTTAAAATAGGATAAATAAAAAGAAATATGCATAAAAACTAGACAAATACAATCAACTAAAATACTTTTAGTAAAAATATCAACATTTGTAATTAATCTTCAAAATCAATAACATTAACAAAATGGGATCCAGAATTGTTAATATAAATGTTTTTTATATTTCCATCATTTTAAATAGCAGATATGAAGCTCCAAAGTTGACATACATCATAATCGGGGTAATGAGAAATGTGGCAACACTTTGCATCATTGCCCATTCAGCATTCTTATTTACCTTTTCTATTATATACTGTTGTACATCAACTTCACACAGGGTTGCCAGATGTCACGATTTAGCCGTGATTCTCACGATTTCATACCTAATTTTTTACTTACCTACGTTTTCTCACACTTCACGCTTTTCTCACGCTTTTGAGTAAATTAAAATAATCATACTTAGTCTCACACTTTTTCTCACGTTTTTAAATTTTTTTAAAATATTTTTATATTTTTTTAATATATTTTTAAAAACAAATATATAATTTTAAATTATTATTTTAAAATATTTAAAAAAATTGTAGTATTTGTTAATAGTCCATCTAGCCAATCATATTCATTGTTCAATTACCCACAACAGAAATTATTTTAAAAAGTTTATCAAGTATAATAATAATAATATGAATTTAAATAACTATACATTTCTTTTATGGATTATATAAATCTTATATTAAAACTCATAAAATTTTAAATGAAATAAATTAAGGGCAAATATTATAAAAGATCTAAAAAATAATCATCCGTTTTCAATACTAACGGATGCATAGAATAAAGGTAACATAAAAACATTTCCCTTATTACTTAGATACTTCAATAAAAAGAATGGAATAAATATATAAATACTTAAAAATTTTTATCTGACAATGAAACCCCTAAAGACATATCTAGATGCTTGCTAGAAAATTTAAAATCGCTGAACTTGATATTGCTAATGTAACGGCTTATTGTGCAAATAACGCATCTGTAAACTTTGGAAAAAATTAAAGTATTTGGACAGAATTGAAAAAGCCATAGTAATAATGTTATACCAATGGGTTGTATATGCCACATTCTTCACAATTCGTTTAAAAAGGCCATAATTTTTCTTAAATATGATTTTGAGAATAGAGTAATTAAATGCTATAATGAATTTAGCAACTCGACAAAAAGAGTTACAATTTTAAAAGAATTGGTAGAATGGTGCAATTTAGAATGGTCATAATCACTTCGCCATGTTCCAACACGCTGGCTTACATTAATCCCATCGATTAAGCAGATGCTTAAGTATTTTCAAACCCTTAAAGAATATTTTTATCATTATCAGCAACCCCACCAATTTTGAAAATAATTTTTGGAAATGATTTTGCAGAGGCATATTTAAGTGTTTTCCTTAACGTTGGCACTTTAGTCAATAACATAAATTTACAATTGCAATCTGAATATGTATTAGCAATATATATACATGATCTTATCCTAAAACTAAAGAATTGATTACATTTAAAAATTCAACAAAATTTTTATGGGAGCATTTCTAAAAATATTTTACAACATAATAATGATGTAGAAGAGGCAATAAATTTCAAAAATGAATCAAAGATATTTAGAAAAAATATTATAGAATATGTAGAAAAACGTTATGATATTATAGATAATATATGGAATAGCCCTATGACATTAAAATAATATCCAGAATTTGAACAATTACAAAAAATTATTAGTAATTATAAAATACCAAACATAGATACAGAAATTCTCTTTGAGGAATATTCACAATTTTATTCCTATTATGAAGAAAAATTATCAAAAAACAATCAGATGAATACCCAAGAAAAATGGATGGATTTTCTTTCTAATAAAAACTCACCATTGATAGAGAAAATATGCAATTTTATTATTTCTATTCCGAGAATATTCAGTCTAATGACTACTACTTGGCAAAAAGAACGTCATCATTGGAAGCTGAACTTATGGTCAAAATATAACTATTCATGCAAAGAGTTTTCAGCCTATCTCCACAGTGCCGATGGGAAATCTTTATTGCCTCTTTTAAAATCATCCATAAAATATAATAATTAATATTATGCTATATTTTTAAACATGAGAAAATTATATATCATAATTGTTATTAGTAAATCAATAAAGAATTTTCATTGTCTTTAAAATCTTGTTATATTAAATATAACATATTAACTTAGATGAGTATGCTACATTAATTACCCCGGCTGAAGGCCGGGTAAAAGCGAGCCGAAGGTCCACAAATTGGGGGGTATGGGTGGCGAAGTCCCCCATTAATTATTATAAAAGAAAAACTCACGTTTTCAAGTTAAGAATATCTGGCAACTTTGTCTCCACATGTATTTTGACTTTAATCATTATAATATTTTTTTTGCAGCATCAGCAAGACCATATGTGATCTAATTAAACCATAGGAGTCTTGTTTTCCTGTAATCTCCATAGATCTAATTATTTTTTTAAAAAATTTAAATATGTTACTATTTCTAAAAACCAATCATGCTTTAAAAAAAATAATGCTCTAATTAATATAGGATATAATCATTAAAATTTAAGGTAAAGAAAGAAACAAAACCATATCCTATGAATATGAGTATAAAAAAATACAACCATATTTTATATAATATGAACCTATATAATCAGGCAAATTTTTTTATGATTTTTAAATTACCAGTAAAAACAATTCTCATTTGGTTCCATTGTTTCTATCCGTGATGGAACATTTAACACCTTCCTATATTTTGGAGGACTTTCTTTTTTACTGACACTAAATTTAAGTGAGAAGCATATTTTCTCCAAATATTGGTAGTTGGATTATAAAAATGAAATGTATGTTGAATGATTTTAATGAATGTGTCATCTATGGCTTTAAATATTTAAAAAAAGTAAATTAATCATGATTTTTAAGAATTACAATTAACTGTAAAAATAATTACAATTTTTTAACTTTGAGTCTGAGTGTACAAAGTCTACTAGGTCACTTAAAGTTCCTTCAAAAGGTGTAAAGAAGATTTTTTTTATTATCTAATTAAAAAGGTTTATAATTTGTCTATTTGGTAAGAACTATTGTGATTGTGAACATATGAATTTTTAACTTTTTATTTATGATTTATCCTTTCTATATAATTTACTATTAACAATACCTTTTTGAGAAGGGAACTGTGAATCTTAATTTTAATTTCTGAGGTAATTAAATTTATTTCACGATATTATTTATACATCCTTTTTCTTGAACAAAATATATTGGGCAATTAACTTCGTTTATTTAACTTCGTAACTTTTTATCAATTCGGAAAATGCGTATAAATAAGAAAAAATATAGCTTTTATTTCTTGCTAATACGCCATTTGGCGTAGGTCTATCATCTCCCTTATTGATAATTTAAACAAATATATTTTTTATAACAAAACATTGGAAATTCTAGAATATTATTGTCAATTATTATAAATTCTATCCTAAAACTAAATATTTATTAAAGTTGATAAATTAGAAATACAATGTACTTGAAACTTGTGTTGTTTTACGCTCGTTTTGAGCCGATTTTTAAAAACGGCTAACTCAATATTTTGGCCAGAAAAATATTGCCTAAGCCTCGAGATTTCCATAATATATTTCTAGACCTTTCTTCCTTCTATGATTAAAATTTTCAGACTTACGTAATATTTTTCTGGATAAAATATTGAGTTAGCCGTTTTTAAAAATCGGCTTAAAACGAGCCGTTTAGCAACACTACTTGAAACAATAAATAGTCAAGAATCATTAAATGAAAATGATAAAATCAAAATAACATTCAGGTGTAAACCACAAGCGCGTACGCAGCGATAGGGGGGAGGGACAGGTGGACAAACCCCCCTCCCTAAATAAAATACAGATGGCGGATTATATTTTTCAAAAATATTATTGTTAATATTATTTATATTTGCTAATATTTATTCCTATCTCATATATATTTATTTATCACATTCATCCACTAAGTTATTTTATCAATTAATTTTGATTTCAAGTTTTCCTTGGAGTAATATATACCTAGCTGGTACGGACAGCCCTGATATTAACGAAGGGGTATCTGGATTTGATTGCTCTCCGAATAGAGAATCTTCGTATTGTTGTAAGATCATCGCTGCTTCTAGAACCGGCCCTTCGAATAGATCCAGTTGTTCCCTGGCGGCCATCCAGGTTCTAGAAGGTAAATCGGCAGGGTTATCTTCCGATGGTATACATTGGATATTTTGGGACACAGCGGTAAAATTGGCTAGGCCTAGTTTTGACAGGACTTGAGTTAAGATAATTTCTAACGAGGGTGACCTTGATCCACCTTTCCCGTATGAGTAATAGGCAACGGAGGAATCTGTGAATATCATCGGGTGCTCATTATTTCTGTGTATAGCCATTATAGCACCAATGCTGACCGCTAAGATTTCTTTAGCGTTAATATGTTCAATGACGTGGGTCGGGACATTGAAGAGTAGGCAAGCTTCGCTGTAGGCTACTGACAAGTTGTCTACCTCCCAAAAATTGATTCTTATATGTGAATTAGATGCATCGACATATACCGGTGAGTTAGCGTAATAGTGGAGTGATAAGGGAGCGGCTAAGGCATCTATTATAATGTTCGCTTTTCTAAAGGCCAGATAGGTGTCAACGATGGGGGCTAAGTGTCCTTGATTCATAGTGACATAGTAGGGGGAGAATAATCTGGACATGCCGGTAATCGTATAGGCGTAATGATTAACGACTCCCAATACCCTGGCTTCTAACTCCTGGCCCACCTGGAAGTGTTGGTACGAGTGTTGTCTGAAAACCTCCAGGCATTTCTTAAGCCTACGTCTTGTATTTGTGTCAGCTGCTACGGTTTTGTCCGTAAGATTGATAGGGACACCAAGGTAGGTTATGCTGGGGGTTGGGTCAAGGACTGATTTTTCCGTCGCTATTTGAAATCCCCAACCTTCGAGGGTACACCGTAAGGATCTTGTCGACCATTTGACGTCATTCTCATTGTTGCCGTAGATGAGTATGTCGTCTAGATAGACGTTATAATTTGCTTTCTTGACCGTTTTTGCGCAGGCGTGCAATATAATAGACTGGAGGCAATAGGGACTAAATGAAGCTCCCATGGGAAGTACGCGGTAACGATAATTAGTGTTGTTAAATTTAAACCCAAAAAAACTCCTGACCTGTGTGGCCAATGGGATGGGTATGTCTATTTTACATGCGAACGAAGATTGGTCCAATTTCGCAGACATCAGCGGGATTGATTTCAGTCTGAACGGGTAATGAAGAAAGTACTTGGATACCTCAGAAAAATCACTGATTACGCGAGGGGATCCATTGCCTTTTGGAATGATGAATAAAGGAGAACATATTTGGTCCTCATCAGTTTGTTCGATGACGTTGGCAACAATCAGTTGTCTTACAATGTCGTGGTATTTGTTGTGTACACCCGCGCGATTTGGATGTTTAAAATATTGGTTGTTATTATTATTGATTTTGATATGATCCAAGCGCGGTCGGAACCCCCTTGAGGCAACTCGTTTGGTGAAGGGGGACATGAGGGGGCCGACAGTCAAATAATAATTATCTCTGAAACTCCTTATCCAACAGGGAGAAAGAAATTGCAAGTTTGTCCAACGAGATCGAGTCTCAGCCATCAAGCCGATTATTAATGCCATTACTGAAATATCATGTGAAATATTCTCAGAAACAAGATAATTAATGGAAACAATACTTATTACAAATTTTTTTTCACATTAGAATGTATTATTTAATTATAATACAACTATTTTATTTAATACTTTTCAAAAACATGACATTGACTTGATTTAGAAGATGAGAATAGCGGAGAGCATTTTATTAGAACTCAAGGAAATTAGAGAATGTTGATGAAGAATTTCATATTTTATATGTTATTGTTGAGTCAAAAGCAGAGATAGACATGTTTAATATTTGACCCCCTCGACTTGCAGGCAAGCTCATCTATAAAACAAATGTCCCCTCTCTTGGATACATTTATAACCCAAATAAATTAATGGTTTTTAATTCATAATACAGCACTTACCAATCCGCAGATATTACTCACAAAAGCCTTTCCAACGTTTTCAGATGGTGATAGAAGAAAAAATTATTTGTTAGATTTTAACACGAAGATGTAAAAGTAAATGACATATGTCATTGGTAAAAGTATCTTATGATGCCTTATTAGCTAAATAACTATGATTAAAAGATATGGTTGATACAGTCGGAAAAAAGCTATGGATGCTTTACATTATTTCAAACACATTTTAGATTATATTCTCAATGTATTAAAATGGTTATATATATTAGCAACTCTTCCCATTAGTAAACTAATGAGAGAACATTCTCTTTTTTAAGAAGACAAGGCACAGCCCGTGTTTTTTTTAAAATTTTTTAGGCCTGACCCCAGCTATTTTGAAAATAAAATTTTCAGACCTGGCCCGATTTTTTAAAAAATAAATTTTATTTATTTATTTTAGATTTTTATAACTAATAATGACAATTTCAAATATTTGGTTTTAAAATATACAGACCTGCCGTATATTTTAAAAAAAAATTCAGGAACAGCCCGAGTGTCTTTTTTAAAAAATTTCGGGCCCGACCCGGCTATGTTTAAAAATATTAAAACACGGTCCCGCCCGGGGGCTGAAAAACAAACCTATGAAGTACAACTTCTGAGAGTAGATAGAATGGTTTGATGTTTTGAATATTCATAGACATTTAACTCCAAGCAAGGATGAGATAATTGAAAAATTCTCAAACATACAAAATACAATTATTACTAAGAAACTTTTTGTGTATTAATTTATATTTCCAACATTTAAATTTTTTATACTTTATATATAATATTTAAAGGCTCAAAAAATTTAAATTTCAATTTTGGGTCATTTAAGTGATTCATACCATGGTTATATTCACTTTATATTTTATAATTCAGATTTATTTTATAGTTTTTCAATGCCGGTTTATATATATTATTTTTATGTAATTCACATTAATTTAAAATTGTGCATTAGAAAAGTTATTAGAATAAATTTATGCTTAATATTTTTAAATAATAATAATATTTCTTAAAATATTTTATTATCCCCCCCCCCCTTAGACCAAATTCCTACGTACGCGCCTGGTAAACCATATTTTAATTTTAAAGAAAATAAACCAAAATTACAAGATTTATCATGTGACAGCTATAATTTCACATTTAATAAAAGAGGGGGAAGTCTTAGTCATAAAATTCAAGAAACTCAAATATAAAAATCTATATTATATGATAATCAGAAAATTTTATGGAAATCTTTCTCATTAGTCGATCTTTCTTTATTGGCACTAAAGAAGGACTGGAATAAGCTTCTAGGAAACTCTGGCATACCTTAAATGGAAGTGTTAATCCGAGGATCATTCTCTACTCTTCTCCATTTCCACAGGTAGGGACTACGAATTTATCGAGGCTCTCCCATCGCGAAATCTTGACCAGCTACTAAGCAACTATGGGCTACGTCACGCCATTGGTCTTAGACTCAATTGCTATATGGTGATCCTATCACTATTCTCTGTCAAACATCGGTCAACTCCAAAGGCCGTCACTCTTTGCATTGCGATCATTTAAGAGGCAGATTCATTAAACATTTAAAATGCAACGATACTATTTCCAGGGCCTAAAAATCTGCTGGCATTTCGTCAACCCTCAAGCCCAATGACCTTTACAATTCCGATGGTAAACGGTCTGATAGCTCTACCATGATCCCTTGGAAGTGGGAGGAATTCCTAACCTGGGATTTCTTATGCATTAAATCCTCTTTCTCCTTCCAATATAAATAGGGATGCTCTACTGGACGCCGAGGCGAATAAACTAGCTAAATATTTGCCATTGTTACCTGCCAACTATACATTTCGACTTTAACATCGTAAAGAACTGAAGCACTGAACCGAGGATCCCAACGAGTGATACTATCCGTCAGAGATTGGCCCTAAACACGAAAAGTTCAATTATCTCAGCTTTATAATTTCAATGACCAAAACTCTTTGATTGACTATCCCGTGCTTAGAACAGGCTTGGGCTATTTTGATCCCAATTATAATGTTGGCGCTAAAAAATAAGTAAGCGATAAAAGACAGAAAAATTAATGATAAAAACAAAAACGACAATAAAGGTACAGAGGAATCGAAAAAATAAGTGGCCACCAAAGCAAAGCCAACGCTACCTTTTATATGAATAATTCACAAATATTGGCTTACTTAAATTATTACTATTATATAAATTTTCAATTAAATTAATATTATAATCTTTATTTAAATCATGCTTTATGTTCCACTTATTAATTATTTGTATATTTATATTTCAAAAATAATTATGAATATGTATTCTAAAAATAAAATTATAAAAATTAAATAAAAAGTAAATTAAAACTAAAATCAAAAGTTAATTAATGAATATATTATAAAATATGATAAATATAAAACGCGCTAATTGCTATACGTGATCAAGAAGATAACGACATCGATATGAATTTAATGAGAGAAGTTATAAAAGAGGGAGATGATAGACTTACGCCAAATTGCGTATTAAGAGGAATGTTAAATGTATGTTATTCATAATAACTTATTATAACATTTTTTTTACTTAATATAATTTAAATATGATTGAAAGTTAACCTCACATTATTTATTAACTAAAAATATCTTTTTTATTTATCATTGGTTATTATGTAGTTTAATAAAGTGCACCAAAAACCATTTTTAAATTATGAAACTTGAAGTAAATTTAAATATTAAATATAAACCTAGTTTAATATTTTTAAAAAAAAATCTATGCCACCACTGAATTTTGGTTCTGGGAACAAATATATATAAGATATTACGGATTATATTTTACATTCCAAAGTCCCTAAAATTTTAAACATTGATACTAATAAATAATATTAAATAAAGACTTATAATGCATTGTTATAAATTCAACTCACTGATCGATAAGTTAAAATTTGCAAATTATTAAATTTTCTACTTAATAAGATTTCTTTTACTTTCCTTTCTCATATTCTTTTTTTATCACTTTTCATATCCCCTTTTCTTACTTCTTTCTTTCCTATCCCCGTTTCTCTCCCTATTCCTTGTTCTTTCCCTTTTGGTTCTATTTTTTCTTTCCCTTTTCTTTCGCATATCTCATTTATTTCACATTTCCCTTTTTCTTTCACGTTTCCTTTTTCATTCCTATTTTTCAATTTCACTTTTCTTTTACCTTTCCCTTCTCAATCGTCTATATGAGCGGTGGGAGTAGGAACAGTCTGCATAAAATTATTTTGAGAGCGGTAGTGGGTAGACAAGCGAAGTAGACCAGGAGTATGATAAATTTATTGAGGGGTAATCTATGAAACTTTAGATAGAATAGGGCAAAATGTATTGCGGTAAAAATTATCACTTATATTATAAACATATTATAATGCAGTGATATTGCTAAACATCAATCAAATCTATATATTTTACCCAATTATAGACATTATTTTCCAAATAAACAATTTATGGATTAGTTTCCGCTATTCTTTTAAAAATAATTTTAAAGTGTTAGAGATTCAATCAGTAAACTGATATTTGTGCCAAACAATATACTATAATAATGCATTCATTGTAAATGTGAGTTTTTTAAATTGAATTCATGTTCCTAAAATAACTCTTTTACGTTCACAATCAGAGTTGTACATTTGCTCAAAATAAAATCTTCAAAGATCTAGATCCTTGAAGATCGTAAAATTTGAAGATCTTTTATTTTTTAAAAATTTTGTGTAACGATCTTCAAAGATCTTCATGATATTTATTTTTTTACCCCTTTATTAAAAGCCCAGATGTTTTTCAATTTTATTAATATAAAATTTCTTTTATGTTTTATACCTCTCCTCCTGCCTTGATGAAAATTGAAAAACATCTGGGCTTTTAATAAAGGGGTAAAAAAATAAATATCATGAAGATCTTTGAAGATCGTTACACAAAATTTTTAAAAAATAAAAGATCTTCAAATTTTACGATCTTTAAAGATCTTGCTCAAATTTTTGAGCTAGATCTCGCTCAAAAATCTTCAAAGAAGATCTTTTGTACAACTCTGTTCACAATATTTTGAAAGTTTTAGTAAAGCATTAATAATTTAAATTATTCTTTTTTATGAAAGAACTACTATTATAATTAAAAAGGTAGAATTAATAATGTAAAAATAACACCACCTCACGGTCGAAACTAGCAAATTTTTTAGGGGGGGGGGGTACTGATTTTGGAGCATTTTTCTTTTCATTTTAGTTTTTCTTGCACCTTTTTTTCCTTCTTATTTATCTTTATCTTTCCATATTTTCTTTTCCTTCTCCTATCACCTTTTATATTTCATCTAAAAAATTTAATAGATAACCTTCAAATAAATCAAACATCCCCCCTTAGGAGCTCCACCCTAAGCTTCCTCCTCCCCCAAAAAAAATTTGGATGCAATGCCCTAGTTTATTTAAGTTTTAACATATTGCTTTCAGTTCTCATGGTCTTAATTAAATCGAAGTCATTTTTTTGAAAAATTTACTCCACCAAATCATTTAAAAGTTTCAAATGATTTGGTGGGAAATTTTTAAAATGGTAATTAAATATAGGGCCAAAGTTAGTATCCTATTTATTTCTGCTGTGAATGTGATAAATAAATGTAAATTGGAATATATTTGCAAAAATAGGTAATTATGATTATTATAAAATATAAATTTGTAATTATAAAACATTAATATTGTTAAAAAAAAATTTTGCCTGCATTTTATTCTCCTATCTCCTCACGCTGCATACATGCCTGCAATAGCTTCAAAATTGTTTTATATTTGCTTGTTATATTGACTTATTGACTTCAAACGCCTATTAAGGTTTTATATATTAAAGGTTTAACGAAACATATGATTTATGATTATTTAAAAGCCTATCATCTATCCACAATTTAAGAAAAGCTCATGTGTATTGTAAAAAAAACGTTTTAAATATAATGGAAGAAGTAAATTTAGAAAATTTGATAAAGTCTCATCAAAATCTTCAAAGCCAGATCGAGAAATTTTGTGTTAAATTGTAATACTATATATTAATATATAACTATTTAGTGCTTAAGGCCTAGTTTACAAATTTTGCAATCTAATGCCCAAGTATTATCAAATGATATTCATAATTCATGGAGTGTGGCTGAGGGAGTTATAAGTAAGATAAGAAACCTTGATCAAACAAGAGTAAATCAATATTTTTATATTGTTATGTATATTTAAGTTTTATTTATGTACATATTAAAAAATCTTTTCTTCAAATATATTTTGATTTTCAAATAATGATTTTGCTATATATTATGATTTTGTTATATTTTAAAAAATTGAAGAATAGGGTTCAAACATGCTTGCGGAAAGTAGAGAATCTGTTAAACCTTAAATTTTGTACAGTGGGTGTTCAAATGTGTATGAAAAATATGGATTACGAGAAAGTTTTTTTTTCCATATTTAAATATAACTATTCATTTGAACAAGGCAGCTTCCCATATAAACAAATATTTATCTTTTGATGAAACATTTTTAATGAAATCATCAAATTTTGACACCTTAGGTAAATGGTATTATTTTATATATAAAGTAACACCCTTTATAGATAAATCAAATAAACAATTAAAAGAATCATTTGAAATATTAAATAAATGTAAATCAGAGTTAAATTGTGTAATCAATCAAAAATTTGACATGGCTATTATTCAAAATGACAGAGCAGAAATTGAAAGATATTTTAAAATATACCCATTGTTAAAAGCAAATGATGATGGTCTAACCAAGTTTAGTGACTATCTTGCTTCACAGGTATAAAATATGTTAACTATATCTGATACTTATTTAATTTCCATAAAGTTTAAGTTAAATAATCAAAATATTCAGCAAATTTTATCAAAAATCAAGAATGATAAATTTCCATTATCAAACAAAAATTCTACAAACAGTTATTCCCATATACTGACACTTTTATTTGAAAATTTTGTAAACATCATTGAGACAAATCAACCATTAGTTGAAGCTTATTATGGTTAGATTACAATTAACATAACTTTTTTTTAAATTATCAATAAGTTTATCAAAAATAATAATATTTTCGTTATATATTTTAACCAATAAAACTAATTTTATTGATTTTGACATAGAATTAACTTATGTAATTAGTAATGCAAAATCACTCCATTTGAGCTGATATTTCAAAACGACTAACTTAATATTTTAAACAGAAATATATTGCCTAAGCCTCATGATTTGGATAATATTTGTGCCATCTATGAGCAAAATCTTTAGGCTTGCATAATATTTTTCAGGATACTATGAATATTTTAAAAATTTTAAGGAAAATATCCAGTGGCATAAGTAGACCCAAATCAAATAATGATGGAGGGGGCTAATTTTAAAAATATAAATGTTGTAATCTGACAATTTTTTTCTTGCCCAAATACAGATCAAATTTTTTTAAAAAACACCAATTTTTATTAATTTAAAAATAAATTAATTGTACTATATATATTTGCAAATTAATAAATTAATTAAAATGACATATTACAGAGGGAGTGGAAATCCCATCCCTTTTGAAATTTATGACCCCTTCTTATTATTTGGGTCTAGTTGCCCTATTTTTTTGAAATTAATATTTTTATCAAGAATAAACCTGTTTAAATTATTCATAATTTAAGTTTATAAAAATATAAAAAATAATTCCATAAATTTATTTTGCAATAGGTAAAAGTAACTTGAAATCCGTTTTAAAAGTTCTACAAACTGAATGTGACAAAGTGTCTCACGACATTCTAATGTCTCTACAAGAAGCGTTCGGGTTAAAAATCAAAGTTTAATTTTTTAATCTTTAATTCCGAAATCATGATTGTAAGTACTTTTTAGAAGGAATGAAAGAAAAAAAGTTAGATAGATAGATAGATAGATATAGATAGATAGATAGATAGATAGATAGATAGATAGATAGATAGATAGATAGATAGATAGATAGATAGATAGATAGATAGATAGATAGATAGATAGATAGATAGATGGATAGATAGATAGATAGATAGATAGATAGATAGATAGATAGATAGATAGATAGATAGATAGATAGATAGATAGATAGATAGATAGATAGATAGATAGAAATCAAATAAATTTATTTAGCACAATAATTAATTTAACATAAAATGTAATATTTTTTGCTAATTTGTCTATGAAATGATTAAAATAGATCCTTTAAATAAAAATTTATGATTTAGTTACAAGCAATTCATCTCGAAATTAATTGTCCAAATCGAATTGCAATCGCCAACGCAAACCAACCAAACGAAAAGTTAGCATCGGGGAGAGAAGGGAAGGGAAGAATACACTTTTTGAAATTTCAAATATTCATAATATTTTATTCAGTAGTAAGTTTTGAAATGATATTTTGCAAAGTGATATTGTTTGATTAGCAGTTAGCGTCCCCATTGGAATATAAGCAAAAGTATTATTATGACAAATTAGGATATCTATTTGGAGCTATCAGTTTTGCTCAGATTAGTTAAGGCTCTCAAGTTATTGAAGGCTACATTGAATCTACTATTTAAAAAAAACATATATTAATTTACATAATAAATTTAAAAAACTTGGAATATATAAAAACAGATCCCTTAGCATTAAAGAACTAGACCTTATTTTGGACGAAATTACTTCATGCATTACGCAGACCCAATATTTCTTCAAATTTTTGGAAACCATTATTCAAGTTTTTTTTGTATTATTTGTATAAATAATAATAAAATATTTAATGTAATATTTAAATTGAATCTGGGAGGCATCCCATCCAATCTATCGCGGCATCTTTGTAGAACGCGCGCATCTCTCTCAAAGCATGTTAAATGGGACAGAACAGAAGTTCTGTGGTTGTGAGTCACCGACTCCTTAATGAATTGAGCCATAAAATATAATAATGCGAAATTTTTTATTAAAAGATTAAATAAAACGTAATATACCTGAAAACATTATTTTAATAACATCGTCAATTCGAGTAAATATTTATTTTCTTCTAGGGTGACGAAGAGAAATTAGACGAAAATATCGATTCAACACCCGCCAAGCAACTGCACCTTATATTTAGGTTGATTCTCGATTCTGGGTTAAATGGCGATATTCAGAGATTGCTCGCCGATTATATCACCTTAGAGCAGGGCTTTATGAAGAAAAGCTTTAAAAAGGTTTAAATTTTTCTTTCTTTTGCTAAAATATAAGTAATAATAGAAGAAGAAATTGAACTGCGGACCAGGAACAAAACCCAGTCCTGATATACAGATTTTAAATTAGCATAATATTTAAAATCGATTCCTGACAATATCTAAAAATAAATAAATACTTACATATGTAGCTTGGCCATCTTTTAATTAAATTGTTATCAATTAACCAGTTGCATGATACCATTTATTAACTCATTCGCTTTTCATATTTTTGATTACACTTGGAAAAGATTTTCAAAAAATTTAAGATTTTAAAATGACTAAATTTTAACAATCTGGACTGGGCTTAAAAATACTACATTTTAAATTACCTGGGCTTGGAAATATAAGACCTTATGCTGGACCTAGAAATAAAATCCGCCGGGCCTTATGGGTACTTCTGCAGGTACCCGAAAAAAAAGTAATAAATGGAATCCATATTGTTATATTATCATGAAAATTGAATAATTCCTTAAATTACTTAAAAATTACATAACTTTGATATTGAATTTTATTCTATGTATAACATAGGGCAGTTTCTTATTTAAAAAAAATGAATTAAATAGCTTTTCTTAATTTTATAACCTTATAATATATCATCTTGCTTGATTATTATACACTTCAAACTGCCGTAGTTAATTTTACAGGAAACCGTTTTAAAAAAAATATGCACCCTGCTTCTATGCTGATTTATAACTTAAACAACTTCATTATAAAATCCTCGTATAAAATTAAGTTCGTGTTTGATTGTTTTAATATAGAGGGGGAGATATACTATTTTGACCTTACCTTAGATTTCTACCAAACGTGGAATAAAGATCCTAATAATTCAATGATATACAATTAATATTATAACCCATTTTTAAATAACGTTTCTCATCTAGTGTTGTTAAACGGCTTGATTTTATAAAACTGCTAACTCAATATTTTAGCCATAAAAATATTGCCTAAGCCTCGAGATTTCGATAATATATGTCTAGACCTTTGTTCCTCAAATTCTTCAGGCTTGCGTAATATTTTTATGGATGAAATATTGAGTTAACCGTTTAAAAAATCGTAGCAAAACGAGCCGTCTAACAACATTACTCACGCCTTTAGAGCGTTTAAAATGTTAAAAACGTCTGAGGATGTAATTACTTTATTCATATATTATATATTTCTTTCTTTTTCTAGATATTCATCTATTATGTAATAATATTTTGGCGGGTAATGTAATATTATTATTTTCGCAATGTTTAGAATTATAAAATTTTTACCGTATATTTAATTATTTTTTTAAATAAAAATTAGGCTGAAGGAATGAATCACGCTATGAAGATGGGATCTCATTCTACGTCATCCATCGTGGATGATACTTTCTTTGTCATACAAAAATGTGTCAAGTTTCATTTTTTAATACATATTGATTAACAGGCTTTTTAGGATGCGTCTTTTTCGAGATTTATAATATAGAATACTTTAAAATCGGAGTTTTTAACTCGGGCTTTGTTCTGATTCTAAGTTCTGTTGCCAAGCAATGTAAAGAATAATTAAAATCTAATTTAATAATGAAAATTTAAAAAGATCGAACTATATGTGTCAATATAAAACATTAAAATCCTGAATTTATAGTAATAATAAATAGAAACCATAAAAGAAAAAGTTTGATAACATTCTTAAAATAAAATAACTTAATTTATATATATGAAATCTATGAACATAAAATTTAGGAATATAACATCTTTAAGCATTATATATATAAAGTAGGGGTATTAGATATTGAAAAATATTGACTATTTATATTATATTTATTATCCCATCAAACGGTAGCTAATAAACTTATCCACATAAAATATTAATATTTTTTATTATAAGTTAAACTTTTAAAATGCATCTTTCAGACTACAGTTACACTTACAGGGCAAATAAGACTACTATTTGGCATTAAGACCACCTAAAAAAATAGTATATTTTGAATTTTTAAAATCATTTTTCTATTCTGAAACAAAATGGGTTGTGAAAGCTTTTTCTATAAAGTTTTTATCATTTTTTAATGGAATTCTGGCATAATTTTATTTCGATTAAGCACTCTTAATTTTATTTCTGGCAAGCGCAAGACCTAACCCTCATCCAACTCGAAGACCGTATTAGGGAGTGCGAAATCCACTAATTAATAATTTTTCTATCATATAATAAAGGATAGACAAATATAAAAAAATTAATTAATTTTAACTCTGCTTATTAGACGCTCGATTTCCACTTTCCACGTTGACGGTATTTGCGCAGTCGTGAATCACTGCGCCGACCTATTTGAAAACGATCTCGCCGATAATCACCTCTCTTCAGCTTCGTATTACTCCGTCACTGCTCCCAAAAGTTCTCGCGCGGTCGCTGGAAACCTCTTAGTCGATCTAAGTCACGCCGCTTACACCTCATTGGTAAGCCCCTCCGTCAACCAAACGCCTGATCAATCGCAAGTTGACATAGGACCCTCCAATCAGAGTGGAAATACGATGTCCGCTTATTCGAATTCAAGTTACCAAACGGCGCAACAGAAAATGAAATTCGGGGAAGAGGCTTATGTTAATCATCTTTATTTCTTAATTTGAAATATTTATTGTATAAAATGAATAATGATCTAAAAAAATTATATAAATAGATTCGACAATAGTTAAACTAACTGACATTTATATTGTTAATTTCTCTATTTGTGAACGTTGTTTTTTTGTCAGGCAATTTTTTATAAAACTTAAATAAAATTAAGTTCTGCTTCTAAAAGATACACAATATATTCACTTTCATTTAAAATTATTAATATCTTATTCCTTCTCGTAGATAACATTAAACGACACCGAATTGAGCATCAAATACTTGGAAAAACTTATAAAAGATTTGGAGGAAGAAAGCAACTTTGCCATGGACTTTCAACATAACAAAACGATAGCAAAGGAAAAATTTATGGTATGTAAAAATAATTTGTTAGGTTGACTTGTAACCGATAAGTAAAATATTATCAAGTAATCGAAACGAAGCTCCAAAATTATTAGAATTTTATTTTTATAACCATGACCACAAAATAAAACTTTAAAACACGATTTCTAAAATTATAATCCCTTTGCAAATAAAAAATTTTAAATAACTTTCTTCACGCTATTATTTTTCGGGGTACTTTCATCTTTCCATGAGTTTTTGTTGCTAAAAATTTTTTTTAAAGTATTGTTTAACTCCATTTATAAAGATTTCGTTTTTTTGTAGCGGCCACATCTGAAACGGCATTGGATATAATAATAAAAAGCTGAGCCAGGTCGGGCCTGAAAATATGAAACTCGGGCTGGGCCGAAAAAATTATTGAAATAAAAATCCCTGCTGGGCCTCCGGACCGTGCAAATAGCACCTCTGCAGATCTCTGATAATTATTTTAAAACTTAGGGGGATGTTATTTTTTTAAACTATCAATATCAAATTGGTTAAGCGGTTAAATTGTTATTTACACGAATATGAATTTGTAAATCGATGAAAGTTTAAAATAACTCATCATGCCACTATTCTATGGTTATAAATTTATATTAATCTCCGAATTCAATATCTTGTACCACTTTTAAAGAATTGCCTGTCCAATTTTTCCATGTGCGAAAAGGTATTGCAAAATATTTTGCAAAAAGGCCTCAAAGCAATCAACGAAAACGTGCTGAGAGTGAAAACTAGACCTCTCATCGAGAATTTTGCCAAAATTAATCACGATATTACAGAAGTAAAAATATGAAAGTATTTTTATATATCAATGGTATATTTTGGGGGTTTCGGTTGTATGATTGTTAGTTGTTACATGCTTGATCGATCATTCTAAAAGGATCAAATCACAATATTTTCAAAAAAATATGGATTGGTTTTTTTTATAAAAAATAAATATCGCAATCACGATCCTTTTATCAATAGTCCAATTATTTTTTCAATGAGACATTCCTTCTATAATCTGAATTACTTATTGTTGTAAAATATGGGTCGAAATATAATTTAAATACATTATTATGAGATTAAATGGGATTTTTTATGATTAGAGAAAAGATATTTTAGACTTGTAAATTTTAATTATGTAGAAAAAATTATTGAAATAATTTTTTTGTACCTTATTATTATTTGATTTTTATTTTTAATTCATTTACTTTTATGGTTTTAAATTTTGATTTACTGGATGCATAATTATTGTTGAAAGGGGAAAAAAAAGATAATATATTTATTATTTATACTCATAACACCCTTTCTCTTCGAATAATTGTTCATCAGTCCTCTTAATCTCTACTGAGTTATCCCCCAGCTTGTTCTTCCACATTTTGCACGGATAGTATCGAATAATTACTATCAACTATTGCGGGTTCGATGATCCAGGGTGAGATGGTCACCCTCACAACCTCAACATCGTATTATTTTTTATGGTGAGTAAGGCCTTCTTGATCCCTGTCGTTCATCTCTTCTGTAAAGATCTCTTGATATCGTTCTTATCTCATTAACCATCTCTCCATATAAGATGACCTCTTCTTCTCAAGCCAGTTGAAAATTTGTGTTGAATCATCGATCTCCGATTTTTACTATCTTGTTGCCAAATCCCACATATCAAGTCATTTACAAATAAAATTAACATGCGAAATTTTTATTGTTTCCTCTTCTCCTTTTTCTCCTATCATATCTTTATTTCTTTCATATACCTCCTTTTCAAGGTAAATCGACTATTATTGTCCCTTGATTATATTTCATTTCATCTTTCAATAAGAACATCAATTTATTGTCTTTTTTACAATCTAATTTGTCGATTTCATTAAAAACCTAAAGTTTTTGTCTTTTTACAATCGATATTTTTCCTTTTTCAATAAAAACCTCAAGTTATTCTAGATTAGAATTTAAGCGAAAAATGAGTGGAAAATTATTGTAAATTATGGTGGTCGGTCCAAATAATTTTCCAAAATAAAAATAGAATCCAGTATCGTCGATCCTTTAATCACTATTCTTTAATCACTATTCTTTAACAACTCTGGTTGTACGACATTTAATGTGATTAGAGCTCTAATTCTAAATTAGTTTATTTTAAGGTTAATTTTGGAGTTGTTAAGTGAGTTTTATATCAATTCAAGTTGTTTTTTTTGTAAAATTAATTTGAATTCGATTAAATTGGGACAGAATTTTTCTTTTAATAATAGATACATATCAAAATTAAAGGAATTTCCTGATTGTTAGTGAATAAGACTTCAAACCCTATTCCTTACGTTCAATAATCACTAGATACTCCTTTTTTTAAAAATTTTGTAAAATGCAATAATTCAAAGTTGCTTTAACTAAACTTGATGAAATAAGTAGTACATGTGTTTTTTTTGTTATTATATTGTTGGATATATCTGGTAAATACTTTCACACTATTCCATATGGTTAATATTATGTAAATAAGACTTTTCCTACGTTTGTAATTTGTTTTTTTTTACAATACAGCGTTTTCACTATATCTAGGCATAGCTAGCTAAGATATAAAATACTTAAGAATTCTCATTTTTTTTAAAAAAAGGTTAATTAAATAAGCATTATTGAGAATATCTTAATAATCGAGTATATATAATATAATATAGTCTAAATGATTTATATTTTTAAAAGAATGAAATGGCTCTCTACGAAGCTCATGATCCCTGGTTACAACCTATTTTATACGAAATTCAATCTTTAATAACCGATATTCGGGTATTAAAATAAATTATTATATATTCTATGCTTTTAATTTACACGATTATAGTAAAATATCCGAAGGTTGACGCGAACTAATCATATAATTGTCAATTTTACTTAGTTTATTTAGGATGTTTAGCTCTATTTTATGACCCCCCCCCCCCCACCCTCCAAGAAAATATATTTAAATTATTTAATTTTATACTTTTATAGTTTTTACCCATCGTTATTTCTTAGGAGTTTTTTAAAAAAAAATGGAAGTCAAAATCAGAGTCTACATCAAAACTATAAGAATATTTCTTTAAATTATAAAAATCAAAATTTTAACATTTTAATCCATTTTTGTTGTCGATGGAGGGGGGGGCTGTAGTCCTCAATTAATTAATCAGAATCCTCCTGTCCTTTTAAAACTTACATAATGTGTATATTATATTTATTTAATAGGCCTCTTTAACATCAACATTGTTCAATAAACTGATATCTCTCTATGTTTCTGACATTCCTATTTACCTGGAAAATGCTATTATGAAGACGAGATTTAATCGAGTAAGTCTATATTTTTTTCATCCTATTATGTTAGCTCGATTGGCTGATACCTTTAATATATTGAGCTTAAACGTTAAGTCTAGCTGTCTCTGTATATATAAAATATAAAGATATTAATGTTGATCACAAAAATGTTATTATATAGAGCATTCTCCTAGAATGGATACACGATTGGCTTATAAATTTGATTGACAATATTATTTAAAGGAATATATGTTTTATGTCTCATTTTGTTAAACGATATCAATTCAATCTTTCAACAAAAAAAATTAAACAAATATTCCATTTTAAAATTTCTATTATTTTTTATTTAATAATTTTATTTTGCTTTTACATAATAATTTTGATAAAGCTCGGAGCCTTATATTTTGACAAGGAGCTCAGACAACTAGTAAATTTCTTAACATCCTTGACATCTTCTTGGGCAACCAGAGATAAATTTTCCAGACTATCACAGATAAATATGATATTGAACATCGAAAATGTTAAAATTTTTATTCTTCTTTTTTCTCTTTTGTAGATTAGAATTTATTAAGAAAAATCTGGCCCGGGATATAAAAAAATTATTTTCAGGTGCGGATCAGATTTTTCGAAATTTAAAAATCAGGTATAGAAAAGGTGAATCTTAGGCGCCGGGCCTACAAGTAATTTTGTTAAACGATTCGATTTGAGCCTTTTTAAAAACAGCTCACTCAATATTTTAGACAGAAAAATATTGCTTAAGCATCGAGATTTCGCTAATATATGTCCAAACCTTTTCCCTCATTATGAGCAAAATCTTCAGTTGCGTACTTTTTTTTTGATAAAATATTGAGTTGGCCGTTTTTAAAAATTGGCTCATATCTAGCCGTTTAATAATGTTATACGCAGGTCTCTGGAAAAAATAGGATATATTATATTATGTATATTATACGAAAAAAAACCAGTTATGTCTTGCTATTTTGTCTAATTTACCATCATATTAACTTTTCTTTTTAAAACAAATTTTAAATGAGAAATTCCTATTTAATTAAATAAATACCCTTTTTTCCAGGTACAAGAAATAAACGATATATGTAATCCTTCTAGCAATATAATTTGGAAAATTACGAACCACGATATAAAACAAATCTTGATTTTGCGGTATGAATTATTTATTTACATTTTTGTACCATATGATCATTTTTCTTAATTCTTTGTTTTTTTATTTATTTCATGAAATTATAGTCAAAATTAGAGATTTGCAAAAGTAGGCTTAAGAAAATTCGGGCCGGGTCGGGTCTTACAAATTTTTTAAAATATATCTAAATTTATCTATTTTATGTTAAATAAAATATGTGATTTTATTTATAGGACGTCAAATAACATATATCGTTTATTTTGAGTAATTATAAAAATTGATTTCTATTTTAAATAAATTCGGGCGTGGCCGACAAAATTTTTTAAATAAAATTTCGGGACGGGCTTGAACCGATGCAGATCACTTGTCAGAATCTTGTCTTTAGGGATGCTTCATACTTTTATATTTAAAAAAAACTAGAGATGCCCGATTCTTGGAATCGTTTTGCAACCGATTACATTTTAAAAATGGATCAATTCTATTTTTTATTTACATTCGGTTGTTAAGGCACTATTGCACGAATCGGTATTTTATATTTTAATCGGCACTGCCAATATGGTTATAATATATATTTTTAATTGGAGAGCCTTTATCGCCAGAATTCGAATTAAACCGCAAAACCGGAACGAAACCGATATAATTTTCTGAACCATACGGAACCGTTATAAAGAAAATATAAAAAATGCGTACCAAAAGGTTATAAATATGTTACCGGTTGTTTTTAAAAAATTATTAAATTTAAATTATTAACTTAAATTTGAAATCTTAATTTTCCTTGAAGAAAATTTACATTCGTGATTTCTTTTCAAATTAAAATTTTTTTACAATTAGATCATCATTATCTTCATATCAATCAATACCAAGCTTAGTTTTTACTTTATATACTCAATTTCAGAGTTGTTAAAAGATACTTTTTAAATGGATCTAGATACAGATACATCGTCTAAAAATTTATCTAGATAGAGATACAGCTTCTAAAAAGTTATCTTGATACAGATGCAATTTAAAATGTATCTATGTACAGATACATTTTTTATTATACTCTTAGATAAGGTTTTAATAAACCTAAATTAGGATTCTATTGTGAAAATTCATGAAATGATCTAAAAAATTTATTGACTCGATATCACATTTATCAAAATATAACTAAAATAATGATTTTTAGATATTAATATAATATATGATAATATAAATAATTATTATATATCATTAATAAAATAATATAATGTATGATTAAATGATCATAAATAATTATTAGATTTCAGTAATAAAATATTTTCAAAATTTTGGTCATTAAGACATCCTCGTTTATCTGTAAATTTTTTTTAGCTATACTAAAAAGTCTTTCAACAGGAGCGCTGGAAGGGATTGTGGTGTTATATTTAATGAATAACATTTTTATATCAATTGTTTAAAAATACTAAAATCTCGGCATTCATTTTTGAAAAAACTATTTAAAATTTGTTGATTATCAGAATTTAAATCATTAACAATCATATCTCCTGCTTGGGATACTGAAAAAAATCGGATATTAAATTATTGGTTTTTTTTTTCACAGGTTAATTTGCTATCATTTGATGGCAGGACTTTGATAATTCCTCAACTAATCTTTGTATTAATTGTTTTTTTTATTAAAATTTTCATCCATTTGTAACCATGTCCAATCTAGTTTAAAAAAAGGATGAAGCATAGTTGCCAAAATATTTTCATCTTCAAAAATTGTCCCAATAAACTTAGAATTATTAAATATTGATTAATTTATTATTAATTTACTTATCTTCAATCCCTTTAAGTAATTTAAGAGTGGTAAACAAAATTTCAGGTTCATTAGTTTAAAATTTTTCAATTTAATAATGAGATGGGAAACAGTTGCACAATAATAAGTTGTGAACATATATTTATCACCCTGCAGGATATCAAGTGAACTTGCTACCGACTTCATTAGCTAATTTAAAATAATGCTGTATATATAAATTTTATTTATAACTTACTAAACAATATTCATGAATAAAATCTTCATTAGATAAAAATCTAGATAGTTTTATTCCATCACAAATCTTGTCCAATTTTTCAAATTAGACTTAATAATTTCTGACATTAATTGTAAAGCATTATAAGTGGAGTTCCATCTAGTTATATTGTGACATATAAAATATCGGCCAATATTGTTTTTTATAATCTCAGCTGAATTTTGAGATTTATTTTGTCTATTCCATATATTTTGGCATTTAGACAATGTTGTGCTATATATCTAAGGAATAAAATATTAAATATTATAATTAAAATTATAGTTTTACCCTCTGATATTGTTTACACTGCAAGGCTCTATTTGCATCTACATTGGCAACAAGATTCAATGTGTGAATGACACAACATTGATGATTAGGTAAAATATGATTCTGATATTCCAAAATCCTGAGCAGTAGTATAAAGACCTGATATTGATATTGGTGCAACTTTTCCTTCATCTTCCAGATCATCAATGGATTCACTAATATTTTCAATTGGCTTGAAAACTCTATCATAAATAAGTAATATTATATTTATAATAAAAGAAACCTAAAAGACTTAATAAAGTGTTTGGCATTATCAGTAATGGTATTTGAGATTTTATTTTGTATGCAATAATCCTTTGCTATATCTTGTAAATTTTTTGCTATTTTATCATATGTATGCCTACCAGTCATTCTTTTACAAGCCAACGCTACATTTTTTCTTTCCAAACTTGTTGGATCTATATAGTGTGCAGTGACTCCTATGTATGAACTAAAAATTAACATTTCTTAAAACTGCTCAAATAATTTGTTTGTAATTAAATTATTATACAAATTTAAATGTTAGCTATACCGGCGATAGGCACTCCAACAATCTGCTGTTGTGCATATTAACGATGGTTCTATTAGACTTTTAATGATTTCTTTCTTTTCATTCTCCCATCTTTGGGAAATTCTAGCAACCACTGTCTGTCGGCAAATTATATTTTTTTGTGGAGCTAATGTTTTGATCATTTTTATAAATGAAGGATTTTCAACAATTGAAAATGGCTGAATGCTATCAATAATAAACTCAGTTATTAAAGTCTGAGGTCACTTAGAAAAAATATCAATGGATGATGAGCCTAGTCCAATATTTTCTCTAATAGATTTTTTCTCCTTCCCCTTTTTTATTTGGATTAAGAGTGTTTGATGTTTTCTCTTAAAATTTAAAATTGTAAACATTTATTTAGTATCTATACCCTTAAATGTTTTACAATGTTGCAAGTTGAGGTAATGCTAACTGAAATTTGCATATTTTTTGGTAGACATTTTACTAACAGAGATTTGTTTTCTTTATTTTGAGATATTATTTTAAAATATAATCTATAAATTGGCCATGGAAGGATGTCGTCATTAATATTAATCTTAAAAATTAATATAATAGAATAAAATACCAATTCATTGCAATTAAAAATGGCAAATTCCCTGAGATAGATTATAATATCAGAATTTTCTTGTTGATAACTTGGACATAATATTTAATTAATATTTATATATTCTTTTTTATTTTAATATTTTACATATATATATTTTTTTAATATATATATTAATATTAAGTTATATGCTCATATGAAATAAAATATTTTACATTCAAGTATTTTTATTTATAATATAAAAAAGCGTTAAATAGAAGTATATCAAAATGTATCTTAAAAAGTATCTAAAACAGATACAGATACCTCTAAAATAATATCTAGATACAGATACTTTAATCAAAAATCTATCTAGATACAGGTCCACATTTTTATATCTAGATACTAACAACTCTGCTCAATTTAATAGAGATTAGACAAATTACTAGTTAATTAGATAAGAAGTAATCTTCATGGTTAAATTAAATATGGAATTATAAGAATAAAGATTTTTCTCTATATATATAGTTTATGATTTTTTTAAAAATTAAATTTATAAAACCGGAACGAACCGTTATCTTTTCTAAACCGATCGATATGATTTTCTTCAAAAAAACCGAAATGGAACAAAATCTTTATTAAATTGTAAACTACCTAAACGAATTCAAAACCCTTGCTAATCGTATAGAGTAGCTTACTAAGTGGATGTGTGCTACGGGGTATGACATATAGTAGATCAGGAGTGACCGCGTGATTCCATCCCTTAATATATATAAAAATAGGTCTTGCATTTTTTTAAAAAATTATTCTTTATTTAGTAAATTGCCACATTGTATTTGGAGTTAACAATAAGCATTTTTTGGATGAAAATAAATTGGAATTATAAATTTAATTATTCCAGGGTGCAGCCAGGTCAATATTTTAAATAGATTATTTTAGGGCCTTCCCCGTTTTAATCGGTATCGGAGGGTAGCAACATACTAATATATTTAGGTACCGAGATCGACAGAAAAATATAAAATCGAGGATCACTGATTAGAACCTTATAAGAAATTATATGAATTGTAATTTATTTTCAAAAAATACTATATTTAGAGTTGATTTTGTGAAACAAGATGTTGACAATTTGAAAATATGAAATGAATCACTTTTAGAAATATTATATTTTATATTATATAAATATGGATAAAAAAATGCAATTTTTATATTTAAGTAATATTTATTTCCTTCTTAAAATACTTGGTGTTTATGGTTTTTTATAATGAAATTTTATTGATCATTTTTAGTTTTCATTTAAATATAAACGTAGATTTAATTAACTGAAAAACCTTGTGGTAAAGGAATATTGGGCACTCGAGCTCAAATTAATAAAAAAAACATAATTTGTGACCTCTTTTACTAAATAGAGTAATACAAATTAAGGCAAGTGTAACCAATTTAGGTCAGTCTCTTAGCTGTTATTATTTATATATCAGAGGCAGAAACATGAAAAATGATTGTAAAATAATAAATTTAATATTATAATTATATATTAAATTAATACTTTACAATATTGGTCCTCCGTCTTGTATAAAAAAAAGAATAAAATTCTAACTCGCGAAATATATATTTTTTAAATACAATGGTATAAGAAATTATAATATACATGTAAAAATTCAAGATTTTTTAAGAGCCCTTTTGATGATAGCCATACGTTGTTTGTGGGCCTCCATACTCATTTTAATACGTTTAGTCTGTTGTTGAGCAAATTGTTGTTGACGAGAGAAGTCATCCGCCGAATTATTAAGAGATGCTGCAAAACCAGGTATCGAAATATTCCAATTTTTTTCGAGGTATAACTGAACATCCCTGACTTCGAGAATGGTCGATTTTCTATGTTTAGCTAATATGCAAGAATTCGAGATAATATCTTCTATAAATTCGTCAGATAGTTGTTTTAACATGTCTTCAACCTCGTCATCTAATTGCTCATTGGGGTCCACTAGTTTAATGAGATCTTGAAGCTTTTGCTTGGAAAGAATCTTTGACAAATAAAGTAAAAGGAATATGAATAAATAAGTTTCAGTAAAATTAATAAACTTATAGATTACAAGTTAAGTTGCACCAAAATAGTAGTGCTTTTTATGGGTGAGAGGTGGTACATAATGCCCAAAATATTAAAGTAATTAACTAAGTGAGAAAGCGCATTCGCCCTCTAAACGTTGTAGGTACAACAGAGCTACACTAGGTATATCTTATTTTCATCTAATTGAATTTTTAAAAAGAATTCAGGGGAAAAATATGAGAAGCCCTTTGCACGTTTGTGGGCAAGATATACGTATTTGTACGCACAATAGTCCAAGGACTATTGTTAAACGCTATATGTTTTTTATATGATGTTCGAGTACCGGGTTCGGGCTAGGCCTACTTTTGCAGATCTAATCTATTGGAACTTAATTCATTTTCAACATATGCACCATTTAGAGAACAGAATTATATACTATTCTGATGACGTAGTAATTATTAATAAAGATCTGGAAGAAACCTATAACCTTATCCACTTACTAAAATCTGCAAGTTTGAAAGTTGGGCTGGAAATAAATTTTAACAAGACCATGATTCTTTTAGCGAAACACACCTCCCACAGAGAATATTGGTATTGGGTCTGAAGTGATTAAGGTAGTCACCAAAATTAAATATGTAGAGATTACCCTAAACAATAGAGGGGCTGTAAGGAAGAGCTCAAATTAAGGATATAAAATGATAGGATAACCTTCTATAACTGCTTCAAGCTTTGGAAGACAAGGGAGATACCGGCCTTCACAAGACTAGTGTTGTTAATTGGTTGGTTGTATAGAGCCCAGACCCAGGGTTTGGGTCGAAAATATCGACTAAACCAGCTCTGAGCACGAACCCCGAGCACAGACCCGGCACAAAAATCCATTATTTTTTTTTTATTTAAAGAATATTATTATTTTATAAAAAGTAAATCTATATTATATATATTAATTTGTGAAATCATTATTTAGGCTCTGCATACATAGGGAGAACACAAATCATGTCAAAATTTTGTTCTACCATTAGAGGAAATGTGTCATAAATGGCCATGCTTGAAGACTGGCCACCACCCTTTAACTTTTTATCTATTGGACCGATTTCTCTCAAAATTTGTCAAAATGTGTATATGTTAATAATACTAATTAAATTAGTGTATAATTAATTTTTATATACCTAAAAGTTGAAGAAATATATAAGATTGGTCTTTTGCAAGTATTTCATATTTATAATATAATTCTTAAATAATATGTTATAACCAGTAAATACATTTCAGCGAAACTTTTATCGCAAAACACTTTTACGCGAATGTCGTTTATCGCGAATGGATTTTATGACGAAACATTTATCGCGAATCCATAATAGCAAATACTATTCCGCGAATACAGTATAGCGAAACCTTTAAAGCGAATACATTACCGCGAATACAATATCGCGAAACAACTATCGCGAAGATATTATAGCGATAATTGCTAATAATGACTAATTTATTTCGAAACATTTTTTTATAATTATATTAATTGAATAATATTTTTAAAAAAAATAGGATTGTGACGATTTTGCACTCATGAAATAAGCAAAAATATAAAACTAAAATAACTTATTATCAAATGATTTATTTCCATAATAATTTTTTGGAAAAAAACAGATGGAAGGGGGAATGAAAATATAGTTTTTATTTTTTAATAAGGATAAATATTTATAAATAAAAAAAATGGATGTAAAATAAAGTTATTTATAGTAAAAATATTATAAATATATTATTATTTAGTGATTTTTAAAAAATATCAAAAAGTAAATCTATTTTTAACTAAAAAATAAAGAAAGTTTTTATTTTTTAATAAGGATAAATATTTATAAATCAAAAAAAACGGATGTGAAAGAAAGTTATTAATAGTAGAAATATTAAAAATATATTCTTATTTTTTAAACAATAATTATTTTAAAGAATTAATTGTTTATAATTATTTAAATTATATTCTAGTTATATTTACAACAACAGGTCTTTTTAAAAGGAATCAAAAATCCTACTATTATAGTAGGATGCCCTTGGTTGGTAAATTTACTAAAAATAAAATGTTAAAATATATTCATAAACACAATAGAGTTTATCGTAAGTCATAATCAGTTTTGTTAGTCAATATTTTGCTTTGATAATAATATTCCTAACTCTTCAGGACTACCTATATTATTATTAATTTGGATAAAAATATTCCTGCCCCTTCTAAGCCCTATACATTAACCTACAGTACAGAGTAGAGAGGGAACGCCTGATCTCCAAATGAATAAATCTCATATATAATGGGGAAAAAAATAAATGGGTTTTTGTGCCGGGAATATCAAATATGATGTAATAAAATATATATTTATTAAATAATGTGAACATGGTTTCCAGGTCAAAATTTTCAAATTGCGGATAAATAGTGTATTGTTAAAAATATTCCTGTGCCCTCCTAGACCCGCCCACTTTGAATAATAATTTAGATTACAATCAAGATATAATTAAATTCTCTTTTATTTGACGCCCATATCAATATTTTCCATTGTTAAAAATATTTCTGACCTCATAAGACCTAGTAGACCCGCCTAATTAGAATATTAATAATAAGTATTAAAGTCAAAATTTAATTAAAACACCTTTTATTTGACGCCCATAATATCAATATCATCATGTTGTTAAAAATATTCATAACCTCTTGGACCCACCCATCTAGAATAATAATTATGATTACTAGTAGACTACAGTATATAATTAACACACCTAGCCCTATTAGCCTATCGAGACCGAGAGGGAACGCTAGATCTTTTAATGAATAAATCTTATGTATACTTTTCTACTAAGTTCAAAAAAAAAGTTAAAAATAAATGGGTTTTTGTGCCGGGTCCCCGGGTCTGAACCCTGGGTCTGTGCTCAGGGTTCGTGTCAGAGCAGGCATGAGCACAAAATTGGGTCGTAAATTTTACGACCAAGCAAATTAACAACTCTACACAAGACTACGAATCTTTAATTCCACTGTCATCCCTAAATTGTTCTAAGGTTGTGAAACTTAGGAAATTAGCAAAGCCAACAACAGAAAAATTCAAACGTTTATCAATAAGTGCTTAAGAATTATAAACGGTGTTTTCTACCCTAGACTAATATCGAATGATAAATTATGGAAACTATCAAAATATACTCTAATCCACATTACATTAAACAAAAAATTCATTCGATTCCTAGCTCATATACTGAGAAACCCCAACTGCAATTTAGTTCATGACGCATTAATATTACTCTTTACCTTTAAGGGAAGTCGTACTATAACAAGACACTTTGGTTTTACCGAGTATTGAAAGATGTCACCATGAATTGGAAACAATTCATAAAATTAGATAATAATAAAAAATCTATAAAATAGCTTTTTAAGATTAAATCAATTTATCTAAAATAATATCCCCCTCATTCATTACTCTACTCATCCTCCTCTCCAGCTACTTTAATACCTTCAACAAGATTACAGGGTCATTTCTTTTATAATGATCATATTTTTAACTCAGTGTATTAAACATTAATTTTAAGTCAGCATTCCCCTGTCCAATTACAATATAAAAATGGCAGTAGGTTGAGTTTGGGCTATTTATTTTGGTTCATTCCTCTTAATAAGCCCACAGACGTTTACTATTGTTCATACAAGTACGTATGGCTTGCCCACAAACGTGTAAAGGTTTTCTCATATTTTTCCCTTGAATTTTTTTAAAAAATACAATTAGATGGAAATGAGAAATACATAGTGTAGCTTGCTATGTACAACGTTTAGAGAGCGAATGTGCTTTATCACTCAAACATACCCTTTCCAAAAATAAGGCTGTTAGGAATTTTTTTAAATGACATAATTATTAGTTTATCTTTGTAATGTATGTTTATAAAAGAGATGTCATTTAATGATGAAAAAGCTTAAAAAAATTTAAGCAACTATTACAAAATCAAATCTCTCATTTATTGTTTATGAACTTACAGATTTACAACACAGCCATAGCAGTTTATATATGAGAAATTATGTATCCTTAGCATTCCGCTTTGGATATATTAATTATATTGTGAAGGAAATACAAATATAAATCATTAATAATAATGTTAGGTAAAATGACCCTCATTTATCAAATAAGACAGCCCTAATAATTAAAGTTTAGTGAAAACACTGGGATAATCATTATTTTATATTAGAATTAAATTTAATATTAAATTCCTCAGATTTTGGGAATTTTACAAAAGTATTATCAATATATTTTTTCAGAGAGGGCGCCAACATTGGGGCAAAACTTGTATTTGTAATGGGTGGACTTTTAACCTGCCTATACATTCAATGCGTTGGAAAAAATACAAAACAATGGGGAGAATGGATATAAATTTGAAATAATTTTCGGACAGAAGACTTATATTTTAGAAAAAATTATTTGATAATATTGCCTTTTTATAAAAAATCAATTGGTGAACAAGTGAAATTCCTTGATTTGGAAGGGTTATAGATTGTCCCTGAGAATGACAAGCTTCTTGACAATCATCTATATAATTTTGAGTTGTTTTATAAATTATGGAATAAAATATTTATACCTTAAATGACAATATTTATTTAAGATTATTAATAATATATAACCTTGATTTGGAAGGGTTGTAGATTGTCCCTTAGAATGACAAGCTTGGCAATCATCATAATTTTAAGTTGTTTTATAAATAATGGGATAAAATATTTATACCTTGTAAATTTGAGCTTAGTTTTTTTAGGATATTATTAGTTGACAAAGGTAAAACATCTAAAAATATAATAATATATAATTGTAATTAAATATAAATACTCTGTATTCGTTTACAGGTCCCTGCAAGATTTTTAGTTATAATAAAATCACAATTAATGATCCACCACATCTTTTACGGTAATAGTAATATATAGCACTTTTAAATTTGTGCTGCAAATTAACACAGATATTCAATGTAATCTTTATTTTTTAT